AGTCTATTTTCTGGTAGTTTCCTGTTTCTGAATTTTGCTGATTGGAACCCCGTGGCATGATCCATTGTCCTCTGGCTTTCTTTTGTTGTTTGCTGCTTGCTGTCTTATTTACAAATGGTGGCTTCATCCATAAGTCTGATCTGACTCAGGCTCAGCTGTTTGGACAGAGCCCTTTGTGGGTGGCTGTGTGTTCTTCCGTCAGGAGGTGCCTGGTGGCCAACCGTCTGCTTCTGATAAACAATTGGTGCACATTTATTTTACAAAATATCGCATTCACTGTGGTGTCTTCATACAAGTACAGGACATATTTTGACCACATCCATCCCGTGTTACCCTCCCTCACTTCTGCCCGCCATCCTCTTGATGCTGACTTTTGATGCTCACTCATTGGGTCCATTGGTTCACTAAAGGTAAGGTTGCAAAGCTGTTTGTCTTTCATGGGCACATCGGTCTCTGATTCCTTAAGTGTGCAACTCAATGGCTTTTAGCAAATTTACCATGAGGTACAGCTGTCACTGTAAAACACAGTAAGATCTCATGGCATTTTTACTTCGTTCTCGGCTCCTGGAAACCACTAATTTGCTTCTGTCATTTCATATCAATGGAAGCGGACCAAGTGTGGTGTGGTCTAGGGTGAGTGTTTGTGCTTTTATCGGGTGCTGGGGCTGGAACCCAGGGCTTCATGCATGCTTAACATGTGCTCCTGCCCGGAGCTGCACCCCAAGCCCAGCATTGCTCCCTACTTTATGTGCTCAGGGCCAGGACTGACTCTCAGGCCGACCCTCCCAGCACCTGGATTCCTGGGACCCCACCCAGCCAGGGAGTGTGACTCACTGGACTACAGTGGGCCCGCAGCTTCCTGATGACCCTAATGGGACGGCACCGTGTAGGAAATCTCTGAGCATCAGTTTCTGGGCTTGAAAAATGGGGATCCCCCGGGCGAGGTGCAGAATGTGCTGCCCACAAACCACAGGCTGTCAGCAGCACCACCTTCTCCTGTGGTCCCCCAACCCCTGTCTCTTTCTCTGTCTTCCTGCAGTGCTGAGAAGTGAGCTACATCCCCAGCCCTTCTTTTTTTAAATCTAGAGACAAGGTCTTACTAAGTCACCAAGTTGCCCAGGGTGGACCTGAACTTGCAGTCCACCTGCTTCAGCCTCCCAGAGCACTGGGATTACAGATGTGTGCCAATATGCCCAGCCTGCCTTCTCCTCCTGAACTACTCCTTCTGTCAGCTTTCAGCCACCCAGGACAGGGACCTCCCTCCCGCAGCTGTGGCTCCACATCCGGCTCTGCTGTCTGCCCCTCCAGTTGCTGCCTGAGTTCAGGGGTTGAGTGCTTTTGATCTAGGCAGTTGCCTCAGCCTCCCTTTGCTCCCAGTCAGTGGCTGAGCCACGTGGCCCTTTCAGAAAGCTCTCAGATGGCCTCGGGAACCCATCCAGACTCGTCAGCCAAGAGGCCTGTCCATTGCACCCTGGCCTCACCTCCGCTGTGAACCCCACACTCAGTGCCCCGCTGCTGCCCGTGACCCTGAACACCTGCTTTCTGCCCCATCCCACACTGCTGCCTGGCAAGCGTTAGGCACCTTCTTTGGGGACAGTGAGTCGCTCCTTCTTCCACCTCCGCACCGCCTCAGGAGATGTGCAGTTTCTTTAGCAAGCATGCCTACTGTGTGCCAGACAGTGTCCCCGGGCTGTGCAAACAGGAACGCTTATTTTCACAACAATCTATGAGCTAATGATGGTCCTGTTGCCAGCGAGGCACCTGAGGCTTCCCGAGGCTGTCACTGGTCCATGGCCGCTGAGCTGACAGTGACAGGGCCAGCCCTGAGCCTGGGCTTGCCGCCCTGAGCCAGCATCCTGTGCAAGACTTCAGACTGCGTGCGACAGGCTGATGGGACAGGCGTCATCACACCCAGGCTATGGTAAACTAAATAATACCAAGGTGGGCGTGGAATGCGCCTGGAATCCCCACACTCTGGAGGCTGAGGCCAGAGGATTGGAAATTCAAGCCCAGACTGGGCAACTTAGCAAGGCCTATCTCCAAATAAGAGATAAAAAAAGAGCTGGTGCTAAGGCTCAGTACAGAGGCCCGGAGTTCAGTGCTCAGTACTGGGACAATTCAAAATTGCTAGCATTTGACCCTTTGGCCCTGTAAACACTGTAGGTATGTGTGGCTCAGTGCACTGGGCTCTGGGCAGACGGTTTCCCCAGAGCAGTGTGGCGTGTGGCACCAGGGACAGCAGAGAGCCAAGTGCAGACTGCTGTGGGGCCACCCTGAGCGCCCCCCAGAGGGAGGGGGGGCCTGAAAGAGGAGAGAGAGGTGAAGGGGCTTCGTGCACAGCCTCGGAGCAGCCTGGTGAAGGCCAGAAGGTGAGGGCAGGGCTGCCCACTGTGCCACCACTGCGCCTCACCAACCAGCGCCTGGCCCGGGGCAGTGCTCAAGGGTCTGTGAAGAGGATGAATGAAAACTGGAGAGGTGTCAGAGTGGGAGCTATTGCTGTGCACAGGGATTTCTGGCAAGGAGTTAGCAAAGGGGAGCAGAAATAAACAGGAGTGAAAGTGGAAAAACAGATCATATTCACACCTGTCCCAGGGGGAAGGGGACCTCGGTCCTGAACTGCCTCAGCTCTGGACAGGTGGGGATCGAGGGCAGGGCCAGAGGCACAGGAAATGTCTGTGGAGACGCTGGCCACACCAACCCCTGGGTTCGGGACCGCCCCGAGGAGGGGCGTGATGGTACACAGAGGGTGGGATTCTGGCTAAAGTGACAGAGCAGGATTCTTGCTAAAACTGGACAATTCAGAGATGAGCACAGAGTCTAAAAGAAAAGACCTTGTAGAAAAATTGGGAGGGTTTGGAAAGAGAATCCTTGAGTAAACCATCCTTTTCTTTTAAAGATGAGTTTAATGAAGTATAATTAGAGAGTGAAATTCATCTTTTTTTCTTGATTTTTTTTGAGACAGGGTCTCGCTACATAGTTCAGGCTGGCCTTGAACTCACTATGTAACCCAGGCTGGCCTCAAACTTGCAGCAATCCTCCTGCTTCAGCCTCCCAAGTGCCAGGATTATAGGCCTGCACCACCACACCCAGCTGAAGTTAATCCTTTTTTGGGGGTAGGGTACAGTTCTGAGTCAGTCAGAGCCACAGACCAGATAGGGGATGGTCCCCCAGGCACCCCTCAGGGCTCCCTGCACACCCCAGCCCACCCCCACCCCGTCTGATCTGTTGCTCTGGTTTTACTTCCCAGGATGTCAAGTGCATGGAGTCACATAGAGAGTGGCTTTTTGGATCTGGCTTCTGGTACTTAATAACATTTTTTAATTTTTATTTTTATTAGTGCATGTTTGCAATACATGATTCCATTTGCCATGGGGAGTTAGCACATGTATATAACACATCTTAATTTTGATGTCCCCTTCCCCTCCCCATGTCCCCTAGTAATAGTATTTTCGAGACAAAAAAGTGCCTATTGTGTGTAGTTGGTTCCTTTTTTTCTTTTCTGTAATGGGGGTTGAATCCGGGGTTTGCACTGAGCTACATCCCCAGCCCTTTTTCTTTTTTTGAGACAGGGCTCTGAGTCCCTAAGTTGCCCAGGCTGGGTTTGAACTCATGATCCTCCCGCCTCAGCCTCCCAGAGTGCTAGACGATTCTTTTTCTCCTGCAGAGTAGAATCCCATTTTATAGATGTATCACAGTGTATCCAACACCTACCAGTTGAAGGATTCAAATTTACTTTTTTATAAAACATCAGTGAGGGGCCAGGGATTTAGCTCAGTGGTTTCGCTGCCTGCTGCGCAAGTGCAAGGACTCCAGTTCTATCCACGGTACCAAACAAAACAAAACAAAACAAATCAGTGCAGGGGTTTGAGCCAAGTGGGTGGGAGGAGCTCTGCCTCCCTGCGATTGGGGTCCAGGTTTTTTCCCTGGCTGGATGGTGAAGACTGGTGCTGGGAGCTCGTTTCTCAGCATCCAGCCTGGACTCAGTTATAGGACTGATGTGGGGAAAGCGGGCAGGGCGCGCTGGTTCACAAGCAACATGAGCCGGGTAGCACTTGGGAGGCAGAGGCAGGAGGATCGCCGCGAGTTCGAGGCCACTCTGAACTGCATAGCGAGACCCTGTCTCAAAAAACCAATCAACCAAACAAACAAAAAACAGAAGCAGTGTGATGGGAGAAGATTGAGTGGAAGATCGGACTGAAGATTGGGAAACAAGGTCTAGGCAAGAGAGAATAAACTGAGTAGCGCACGCCAGAATGTCTGGCCTGACGTCAATTTGGAGAGCGCGCGCGTGCGTGTGCTTGTGTGCTCCCGCGCGCGCACTCGCGGACCGCTAGCTCGGCCCTGGAAGCCGAGGCCCAGGGCGGCCTCCCAAGGGCGCATCTCCTGTTCCACACCCGGCTCCGTGGCCGCGGAGAGGGCGGCGGCGTCGCGGCCTCGGGGCTGGTCGCATGTTGAAGTGCAGCGCTTCTCTTCCAGTTGGCAAATACCCGCGGGCCCAGGGCTAGATTTGCCAGAGAAAAGCAGGACAGTTAAATGTGAATTTCAGATCAACAACGGGTGATGTTTCCTTATGTTCTAGGTCCCACCTGCAGCTTATCCATTCTGGAAATTGAACCCAGGATTTTGTGCATGCGTTGAGCCACGTCCCACTCCCATTCTAACATTTCGAGACAGGGACTCCCTAAATTGCCCAGGCTGACCTTGAACTTGTGATCCTCTTGCTCGGCTTCTCAGGGTGCTGGGATTTAAACGTGCACCACCACACCTAGCTTCATGTCCTGTTTTTTAGAAATTATTTCATGCTTATCAGAATTTTAAATTTACCTAGGTGTCTGTCCTGTGTTTCTTTTACCTGCCCTGTTCGGCAACCTTGCGTGTCTGTTGCCCGGCCCCACCTCAGCCCAGCCCCCGGTGCTCTTTCTGGCCTTGGTGAATGTCGGCTGTCACCCTGACTACCTGCAGCCCAGGCAGCAGCTGTCTGTCTCCCTCCCTCCCCCCAGGCCTGCCACTCCTGCTGCCTCCTACCGCGCTGGCAGCCCTGGCCAACAGCTGGCTCCAAGAGGACTGCCCAGGCCTCAACTTCGCAGCCCTGGCCTCAGGGGCCTTCCCTGCCCGGGCCGCACTGTGGGCCAAATCCCGGGGCATCCTGGCCGGGAGGCCCTTCTTCGACGCCGTCTTTGCCCACCTCAGCTGCCAAATCTCCTGGCTTCTCCCCGAGGGGTCAAGGCTGGAACCGGTGGTGAAGGTGGCCGAAGTCCGGGGCCCTGCCCACCACCTGCTGCTGGGGGAGCGGGTGGCCCTGAACATACTGGCCCGCTGCAGTGGGGTCGCCAGTTTAGCTGCTGCCGCCGTGGAGCTCACCAAGGCTGCCGGCTGGAGCGGGCAGGTGGCTGGCACGAGGAAGACCACGCCCGGCTTCCGGCTGGTGGAGAAGTACGGGCTCCTGGTGGGGGGGGCTGCCTGCCACCGGTACGACCTGGGCGGGCTGGTGATGGTGAAGGACAACCACGTCGTGGCAGCGGGCAGCGTGGAGAAGGTGCGTGTCTGGCTGAACCTGTTCCCACTCTGGTCCAGCCCTCCCTGCTCCCCCAGGCCACTGGCCACCGTGGGGTGCAGAGCTGCGGCGGGAGGCCAGGACGGGCTTCTCCACTCCCAGCCCTTCCATCGCAGGCCAGGGAACCTCTGACTCTGTAGCTGCTGGGCATGATGTGCAGGAGCAAAGTGCAGGACCCAGGCACGGCGGCCACTCAGGAGGCTGAGGCAGAATGCTCCAGTCCAGCCATCCTGACTCCTGACGGGGTGCGGGTAGGGCCCTAGGGAGGCAACTGGATCCTCTTCCCAGTTCCCCAGCGTGCTCTGTTGCTGCCCACTGGCCTCAGACTTGGGTTCCTGCCGTCTGGGTGTCCTGGCCCGGTGCGTCATGGCTGTTGCTCAACCCAATAGAAAGCATCCCAGCATCCGGTTTTCTGTTCCATCTCGAGCTCATTCTTGGAGGGGGGTCTGGACCTGTTCCCTGGTGCGGGAGTCTCGGTGCCCATGCTCCCCTCTGCCCTACAGGCAGTGCAGGGCGCCCGGCTGGCTGCAGGCTTCTCGCTGAAGGTGGAGGTGGAGTGCGGCAGCCTGCAGGAGGCGATGCAGGCGGCCCTCGCAGGCGCTGACCTGGTCATGCTGGACAACTTCAAGCCTGAGGTAAGGCAGGGCTCCTTCCGGGGCGGGGTGTGGGGGGCCCTCACCTGCCCCATCCATGTCCTGCAGGAGCTGCACCCTGCAGCCACGGCGCTGAAGGCCCAGTTCCCTGGAGTGGCCGTGGAAGCGAGTGGCGGCGTCACCCTGCACAACCTCGCCCAGTTCTGTGGGCCCTGTGTGGACATCATCTCCTTGGGGATGCTGACCCAGGCCGCCCCAGCCCTCGATTTCTCCCTCAAACTGTTTGCCGAGGAGCCCATCCGCCCCCGACTCTAAAGCCAGAGAGGAGGCCCAGCTGTGGCTGAGGCTCCCAGGGACACTTAGGTCATCACCGGCTGGGTGCCCAGCAGGACAGGCCCAGCATGGCCTGGCTCAGCTCCACGCTGCGCCCACTAAGGCTGAATTCACCTCTGTTCCTCTCAGTTTCCTGATCTGAAAACAGGTCTAATAAATGATCAACCTGGCAGAGTTTCTTGGTGTAGGAACATCGTGAGAGGTCAGGAAATGTCAGAAATTACTCTAATTCGTCTGACCAGGAGATGGACATCTTCTCACCTGCTATTTCCATGAAGTCAGGGTGCCCCTGTAATCAGTAGTGATCCAGGAGACCATCAGGCAGGCGGCTGGCGTCCCGAAGCCACCATGGCCCGTGTTGGCCACTCAGAGAGAGGGTGAGAATGGACGCTGAAGCTGGGTGTGGTGGCGCATGCTGTGATCCCAGGACTCAGGAGGCTGAGGCCAGCCTGGGCTGCATAAGGGAGCTCAAGGACAGTTTAAACTGCACAGTGAGTCCCTGTCCCAAAAAACAATACAGAGCCGGGGATTTAGCTCACTGGTTCTGTCCCGAGTTTGACCCTCGGTACCAAAAAATTAAAACAAAACAAAATCTATCTTGAAAGAGCCCCAAACCAGCCAGGTGTAGGGATACACATCTGTGATCTCAGCTGCTCAGAAGGGTCAGGCAGGATGATTTCAAGTTTGAGGCCAGCCTGGGCAATTTAGCAGCCCCTGTTTCAAAATAAGGACTGGAGCCCCACCAAGGCCTTCGGAAAATGTAGTCTCCAGGCAGAAGACATGCCAAGCTCAGGAGTCTGCTCCTTTGTGCATGTTCAGAACACACACTGCTCTTAAATTGCTACCTTTAGATGCCTCTTTAAAGGGAACACCAGATCTTACGATTACTAATCCTAAATTAGAATAAACCTTTCTAACCAGTGTGTCCCCATTAAATGCCCTTCTCACCCTGCTACGCAAATCCCAGTTAGGATCCCGTAACTTTTTTCCTTTTTCTTTTTTTGGTACAGGCATTGAACTCGGGTCCTTGCGCTTGTGCAGCAGGCGGCGAAACCACTGAGCTAAATCCCTGGCCCAAGGATCCTGTAACTTGAGCAAAAACAGTTTTGTGCTTTCGCCTACTGAAGGTCCAGCAACTTTAAAATGCTAAATTTGTATTTTGGCCTTAAATCCTCGCATGCCGACTATCCTCCCCCTCTCAACAATGGGTATGAGATAGGATAAAGAAATAAAACTAGGAAAAAGAAGTAAACCTAGGTTAAAAAAAAAAAAAAGGCCAGGAGCAGAGGCTTCAGTGCCTGCCTTGCAAGCACAAGGTCCTGGGTTCAATCCCTATACCAAAAAAGGACTGGGGCCGGGGATTTAGCTCAGTGGTGCCGCTGCCCACCTCACAAGCACAAAGTCCCGAGTTCAATCCCCAGTATCCAAAAAAAAAAGGGACTGGGGATGTAGCTTAGTGGTAGAGCACCCTTGGGTTCAATCCCTAGTACAGGAAAGGAAGGAAGAAAGAGGAAGGAAGGAAGAAAATACAGTCCAATTCTCCTTGTTTGTTGTAGTTTGAGAAAGGTCTCAAAGTTGTTGAGCCCTGGAACTCCTGGGCTCAAACAATCCTCCTACCTCAGCCTCCCAAGTAGTTGGGGCTATAGGCACATACCACCACACTCAGCTTAACATAGACCTTTGAACAAGTATAGAATAGAGACTGCAAGCACTAACAAAGCACCGGTCACTGATGAAGCGACAGCTCTCCCTTTGAGCTGTAGTAAGTGTCCCTGATGTCCCTGACTTGCTGTCTGCTCAGCTGCTTGGCCACGTCTCTTGAGGGCCACGCTCATGTTAGGCCAGTTATTCAGAATTTGGCCCTAATCCCTGGCCGCTGCCATCAGCTCTGTGGTGGGGGTGAGAAGCAGTCCCTTCTTCCCTCTAAGGGTGCCAGGGGACTCCACATGCACACCCCCAAAGTGGAAGACCCCCCCTTCAGCTGCGGCCTCATCCCACGTGGCGGGGCACAGAGTGCCAGGCTGCGCCAGGGCACGGTGAGGCCAGGCCAGGTGGTTCCACATCAGACTCGGGCTTCCTTCCCACCCAGTGAGACCTGCGCAGGGACCTGAGTCCAGCTCCCCAACAGCAGATCCTGCTGCCTCCACAGCCGCACTGCTCAGCTCGAGCTGGGGGTCACCTCTCCCCAGGGCAGCTCCTGGAGAAGCTGAGGCAGAGAGGTTAAGGGGCCCGAGGCGACTCCTCCCAAAGGGGCTCCCTCTGGAGCTGCTGCTGTCCTCACCACCCTTCAACAGAGGAGAGAGGAGCAGCCTTCACCCACAAGGGCCCCTCCTCAGGGGTCTCAGAGGGCCCCTGTCTGCCTCGAAGGAGAAAATCTACCCTTCTTCCCTTCCTCAGCGCCAGACATCAGCAAGGGGCCCGGGAAAAGGGCAGATAAAGAAAACAATGAGAGCACACCTGTAATCCTAGCACTCTGGGAGGGTGAGCCAGGAGGATCTCAAGTTTGAGCCCAGCCTGAACAGTTTAGTGACTTAGTGAGACACTGTCTAAAAATAAAATAAAATAAAAAATACTTTAAAAGGCTGGAGATATAGCTCAGTGTGGAGACCTTGGGTTTAATCTCTAGCACAAAAAGAAAGAAGGAATGGCTGCCTCCCAAGCGCAAGGTCCCGGGGCCGGGGCGGGGTGGGGGGGGAGACTATCTCAGGTGGAGGCCCCAGATCGGCCCTGGCCGCACCTTTCACTGAGTGATGGGGGCTCGGCTGCGAGGACTCGCGGCAGAGACAGCGCTGCACGCAGCACCAGGCCGCCTGTCCTCCGCCTCCTTCTCCCTCCAGCGCCTCGCCGCCCTGAGGCCCCGGGCCGCGCCGGGCGGGCAGAGGCCGCAGTGGGACCCGGAGACCGAGGCTGCCGGGTGGGCGTCGAGGACGCACCCAGCAGGGCGGGCTTGGACCCGAGCCGGGAAGAGGTGGGCACGGCGCGCGCGGCTCGAGCGTGAGGAGACCGGAAGCTAGGGAGATGCCCCTCGCGAGCAGCAGGGGGCGCTGCGGCCCCGCCGTCCTTCCCTCGCGCCTCCGGGCACCCAGGAGAGATCGGAAGGCCTCGGTGCAGCTCCTCCACGCCCCGGCGGAATCCCTTCATCAAATCCTCATCCATTCCCGAGACAGCTCGGTGACTTTTCAAGCCCGGCGAGGTTGGCCCGCACCTGTAATCCCAGCACTCTGGAGGCTGAGACAGGAGGATCGCCTCGAGTTCGAGGCCAGCCTGGGCTACATAGTGAGACACCCCCCCCCGCCCCCCAAGAAAACCCAAAAACTTTTCAAAGCTCTGTGAGCTCCAGATTCACCCGGGACTCAGATTCTCTGTGTACCCGTCCACGGCCGGCCCTCCCGCGTGCCTCTCCCACCCCTCGCGTGCAGGCCGCGCCAATGGTAGAGACGCGGGCCTGCAGCAGAGCCTGACTTCGGGCAAACAGCTCGGTTCTGGGTCCTTAGACCCCCTTGGTGCTGTGAGCGGACACTCGCGTTCCTTCGTCTCCACCTCACCGAGACAGCAGAGCAGGTGACTGACAGCTCAGGCCTCGGCTCCCTTCGGGGGCTCCTCGGCCCTCAGCACCGTTCAGCCCCGCGCTCTGGGCTCCGGCGCGCTCCGCACTTGCAGACCAAGCCATGAGTGCTGAAGGGCCCCGCGGGGTTCCTGCAGCGCCCAGGCCCGCAGCAGGGCGGGGCAAGGGCTCCCCTGTGGGTCTCCAGCTTGGGGCCCCTCACCACCCCCTTCCTCTCGTCCAGTTCTTCAGCTAAGAGATTCGGGCCCCACCAGCCCCCAGGGAGCTATCCCACAAGTGTGCTCTTGCACATTTTGTTTGGTGTGTGCAGGCAAGTGCTGGAGCACCGAGCCACTGCCCACTGCTAATGGATTTCCGTTTTGACTGGGGATGGATCCACCGCCCTTTTTAACCTTTTGAGACAGGGTCTCACTGAGTTGCCCAGGCTGGGGATCCTCCTGCCTCAGCCTACCGAGTGCTGGGATCACAGGCGTGCGCCACCACACTGGCACCTGGCTAGATGTTTTGTTTTGTTTTGTTTTTTGGTCCCGGCGATCGAACTCGGATCCTTGAACTTGCGAGGGAGGGGGCGGAACCGCTGAGCTAATTCCCTGGCTTGGCTAGATGTTATTTAACCACAGAAAAAAGGAGGCCTCTTTGTTGGAATAGCATAGCAACATAGAAGGGACGCTACTCCTTTCTGAGTGCTTCCCACCTTAAATGATAATAACAGTAATAGCCCCTTAATCCCACTGAAAACAAAAAAATCATTTAATTTAACATTTATTTTTGTACAGACTGCTTTATTTTCTCAATACATCATGAGCCAGAAAGGGAATTCACTGACATTGGAGGGTTTTAGGGGAGGGCTGTAGTTGACATATTTTTCTATTACTCTGCAGTAATTACCTAAATGGGTGGGTGCTCTCAGAGCAAGTCATCTGCTTTACTCTGCTTGACACACGCTCCATTGGGGACCACAGAACACGCAAAAGGCTGTCTACGAGGCCTGCGGATCAACAGTCCGGGGGTGTGCTGCATATAATTACAGAGGAACAAAAACTCCATCCATAAATTTTCTGATAGTCAATTTATTCCCTTCCCCCTTTTTTATTCATTAATTTAGTTATCAGTAACTTCATGTAAAACAAAGAAAGTAAAATAATTTCCATTCACTCTTATGCCCCTGAGGAAACCACTGCTGTTCATCGACTGACTGACTGACTGCATTGCTAAGGACGTAGCCCAGCGCTCTCTGCTGGGCAGGCGCAGTCCCCCAGCCACACCCCAACACAGCTTTATGACTGTGTGCTGTGGACCCCGACATAAAGGATAGGGATCGCCTCACCACACTTTTCTTCTTCCTTGTTTCTTCTTACGTCTTTCACATTTTCATTTCAATTTTTTCTTTATTTTTTTTAGTTATATTTTTCTTCCTAGTCTTTCTATTGCTTATTATCATAGCTCTAAATAATATATCTAATATCCTCTTTCGGAGATAAAATTTTGAAATGAGATATATATATATATTTATATATATATATTTATATATGATGAAATTCACCCCTTTAAAGCGTTCCCTTGGGTGGTTCTAATATACCTGAGAATATAATTTAAAATGTATGCTTAACTTTTTTGGGAACTGCCAAAACTGTTTCTTTGTTTTGGTTTGGTTTTTTGAGACAGGGTCTTACTATGTATGTAGCCCAGGCTGGCCTTGAACTCATGAGATCCTCCTGCCTCAGCCTCCTGAGTACTGGGATTATAGGCATGTACCACCATGCCCAGCCAAAACTGCTTTTTAAAACTGATATGATAGGGCTGCGGATTTAGCTCAGTGGCACCTCAGCTTCCTTGTAAGCACAAGGTCCTGAGTTCGATCCCCGGTACCAAAAAATAAAATAAAAAGCAATGGGTAACAAAAGACCATTCCACCAACAATGTTTAGGAATTCCAGTTTCTGCATACCCTTGGCAGTACTTGTAGTCTTGTCTTCATTATAGTCATGCCAGTGGGTGCAAAGTGATATTTCATTGTGGTTTTGATTTGTATTTCCCTAATGACTGATGATGTTGAATATATACATATGTGTGTATATATATTTGATCATATATCTAGCAACTCTGCTAGACTAACTTACTAATTCTAATAATATTTTGTGACTCCCAAGTACTAGGATCACAGGCGTGCACCACTGTGCCTGGCCTTGGACGTCTTTTATTTGTTTTTCTGGCCTACACCATTTATATTTAATGTGATTATTGATTTGGTTAGTTTGACTATCATTATTTTAAGATATTAAATGTCGTATGCTTTTCTATGTTAAAAACTATGTTTAAAACAGTGCTGTTTCTGAGAAAATGACAGAAAAAACCCAAGGTACAATCTATAAAGAGGCCCATTCTGACCCCTCCAGTGCACTGCCAGGCCCCTGGCCCAGCCCAGCCCCGCGTGTCCCCACACTCCAGTTGGCGGGCAGTGCTGCGATTCTAGCAGCAAGAAGGCCGTGGTCTCCGGCTGCGCCCGCACTCAGCACAGACGCCCTCGTGGCTTGTCGGTACTCAGTCTCTCCTGCCTCGTGCTCTTCTTTCTTGCTGGTACAGCACTGGTATTGCTTGGGGTGCGCACGGCATTATGGGCAGATCCCTGTTGCCTGGGACACCCGACTCCAGTCCTGGATCCCCGTGTAGATGTGAGGGCCGTGTGTCAGCTGTGACGACAGGAGAGGGTCCCAGGGAGGCTCCCTGAAGGCCTTGGCCGGGAGGTGGCTGGGAGCGTCACCAGGCCAAGCTCTCTCCAGCCCTGCACGCGGCCTCCGCCTGCCGGTGCCCAGTCTCACTGGGTCTCTGCTGAGGCCCTCGTGGACCTGTCCGCCCCACAGCTCGGCCCTGGAGGCCTCCTGAGAGCAATCCTGAGACCTGCAGGGTCAGAACTGACCCAGAGTGCAGGGAAGGAGGGGCAGCCGTGGGCAAGGGGAGCAGAGTGGAAGGGGCAGGCTGGGGTGACGGGGTGCAGAGAAGGCTCGGGCTGGGGGCAGCAGGACGGCAGAGCGCAATCCATCTGCTATGGGATAACAAACACTGCAGACTCGGGCCTCACAGCACTGCTGCTGGTTCACCGTCTGTGGGCCGGAGGTCCACACACAGTTTGTTTCAGTGAGCACCCGAGGCTTTGGGGGCATCTGGAGACAGGAAGAAACGGACAGGGCTCCCTAATTTAGCTCCCTAATGGAGCTAAATATATCAGCTTCCCAGAGTGCTGGGTTGCAGGAGCGTGCCAGGGAGCCAGTAGGTCTCCGATTTTAAGGGCTCAGGTGGCCAGGTGGGGCCTCCCTGGATAATTGGGATAGATTCCTTAAAGTCCCTGCCCTGCCCTGCAGAATGGGGCCTTGGGGAGCTCCCTGGCCAGTGCAGAGGTGGCTGGGAGTTGGGGTGAGAGTGAGTGGGGTGTGGTCTCAGCTACTCTGCTCGAGGCTGACGCAAAGCTTCGCCTGAGCCCGGGAGTTGAGACAAGCTGGACGCCACAGTGAGACTCTCCAGTCAACAGACAGCAAGCGCGGTGCAAGTCCTGGGAGGGTTTGGGATGTCACCGCTAGGTTTTAAACAGAGAAGTTTATCATTCAGGATTTTGCTTCCAAGACTCCCTAATGGAGCTAAGTATATCAGCGTACAGTGGTAGTGATGAGACACATTGTGTCTCCATCACATGCTGGGAGCCCTCACAAACCCTCCGGGTCTCAGTGGTTAGGCGCCAGCACCTGTTTGGAGGGCCCAGCCCAGCCCAGATGCTCAGGGACTCAGCGAGACCCTGTCTCAAAATAAAATTCTTCAAGGGCTGCAGACGTAGAGGGTAGAGCAGCCCCGGGATTCAACCCCCAGCACCACAAAAAACATCTAGAGCTTGAGAACTGCCTAGATCGCAGGATTTAGATACCTTGTGTCTGAGCCTTTTTAGTTTTGGCTGCTTTGTCATGAAAAGAAAGGGAATACGTGTTGGAACTGTAGGGGGTTGGAGTCCTTTCCAGTCATGTTTAGTGAGCTCAGTCCTGGGAAACAGAGGCGGGAAAGCACTCAGGTGAAGTTAGGAGCCATGGCATAAGCCAGGACCCAGGAAGTATGGGAAAAGAGAAGAGAAGAGAAAAAGAGAGATATAGGTTTAGTTTTGTACTACAAAGACACAGCGACAGTGACTTATACAAGGTAAAACGTTAGCTCTCTATCACGGACTAATGAGGGAATAGGAGCTCAGGGGTGGTCCAAGGCCCCACAGGGACTCAGATTCTTGGCTGCTCAGCCAGCTAGGAGAAGGGTCACACAAGTGACATGGGCTGGGCGTGGTGGCGCATGCCTGTGATCCTAGCACTTGGGAGGCAGAGGTGGGAGGATGGAGGAGAGTTTGAGGCCAGCCGGGGCTAGTGAGTTCAAGGACAGCCTGAAATAACAGGGCTGGGGATTTAGCTCAGTGGCACCACACCTGCCTCGCAAGAGCAAGGTCCTGAGTTTGATCTCCGGGACCAAAACAACAACAAAACAACAAAAAGTGATGGCCATTCTTAGTTACAAAAAATTCTGGGAAATGTAGCTTATCTTCTGAGTGGCTGTGAGCCCATTTACAAATGGTGCTGCGTTTCCTTCAGAAGAATGAGACCATAGAGACTTGGGGTCACTGGGGTGTGGGCTAGGGACTGAGGTCACAGGCGAGGTCACCTAGGAGGAATGGAGGGAAGGAGAGCGAAGGCCACCAAAGCTGACCCCTGAAGAGGAGGCCAGCAGGGAGAGAGAGACAGACAGAGAGACAGACAGAGAGGGGGGAGGAGGAGGGGAGGGAGGGAGGAAACCAGGCTTGTGTTGAGTCACAGAGGCTGAGGAAAGACAGTTTCAAAAAGGGAATCAAAATATGTAATGGTAATGCCGCCTGCAGGGAGTTTACAAGTGTCCTTTGACTAAAATCAGCTATATTGCCTAGGCTGGTCTTGAACTCCTGGACTCAAGTGATCTTCCTGCCTCAGCTTCCTGGGGGCTGGGACCGAAAGTGTGTGCCACCAGACTCGGCACATGATGGGAGAAATCGGAAACTGTATGAAGAAACAGTCATGCATCTGTGTGTGCATGTGTGTGTGATATTGTAAACGGAGCAATCTGACATGCATGTCCCCACCACAAAACATCTACAAGTGCTGTATAAAAGTAAGCATGCAATCTTTAAAAGGGGAACTAAATGATTAAAATGAGTAATTGATAATATGAAACAGGAAAAAAAGGTCCAAAGGGGTAGGGGAAGTGGGAGGGGAAGGGGAAAGGAAAGAAGGGAAAGGAAAAATTATGAGAAAGGAAATAATGGAAACAAAGTCTTTGTAAATAGGGAAGGGTGGAGGGGGTGAAGGGCGCACAGGGAATGGGGAAAAAATAAGAACCAAGATCCATCATGTGTAGGTACAAGCACCCAATGATAGATGTAAACGTACTATATACCTAAAATGTACCAATAAAAGAATTTAAGCAAAAAAAAAAAGTTAAGGGGAGCTGGGTATGGTGGCATGAACCTGTAATCCTAGCACTCTAGGAGGCTGAGGCAGGAGCATTCAAGCTGAGCCTCTGCAACTTAGCTAAGGAGGGGGCGAAGGATGAACTCAGTGTAAAGGTTCTGGGCTCAACCTCCAGTGTTGCACCAAATCGAGAGTTGAAATGATCTTCCAGAGACAGGAGAGTTGGGTAAAATAAGAAAGAAGTTTATTGCCAGGCCATGGCCAGCTTCAGAAAATGAGTCCTTATAGACAGACCTCGAGCTAAGACAGTCTCTCCTTTTTATACCTTGCTCACAGGCTACAGGGCAGCCTAAGTTGCAGTCATACAGAATGTAGCAAGGATGTGGCAAAGCGGCATTGGGCAACTTTCCATGGTTTCTAGGTTGGGGGCTTACATAAACAAATCTCAAGGCTGGTTTCTAATCTTTCCGGGAACAGGCTGCCCCACAAGAGAGGGAAGGCCCACCCAGGGTTTCCAAACAGGGACAAGTTGACAGAGTTCATGAACAAATTTTTTACAGTAATTATCCATTCCAAGTTATGTTTGGCAACTCTTTCTACCTCACCAGCACCGAAAAACAAAACAGAAGTAAGAAGAGGCCGGAAGGCACATTTACAGAGGAGGTGGAGAGGTGCTGGGAGGGACGAGGCCTGCGCTGCCAGAGCAGAGGCTTGGGCTTAGGTCCACCCGAAGATCGGAACGAGACCCTGTCCCGGAAATTAAAAACGGAGACCCCCCTGAGAACGCTCAGAACCTTAAAGGGGGACAGCATCTGACTTCCAGCCCAAGAAGCCCAAAAGATTTGTGGGTCTTATCCTGAGGTCTGCTGACAATAAAGGACCCTCCTGAGAACCCAGAACCAAAAGCTTGCTCTAGGGCCGGGGATTTAGCCCAGCGGTTTCGCCGCCTCCTGCGCAAGCACAAGGACCCGAGTTCGATCTCCGGTACCAAAAAAAAAAAAAGCTTGCTCTGGCTTAGCCCAAATACAATTAGCAAATAATGTGGTCCAGAGTTGGTAATGTCCCTGAAGCATCCTTTTTGAAGCAAATATATAATCTCTCGAAAGCAGCTCTCTGTTACCAGGGCAAAGTACCCGAGAGAGTTAATTTGTAAAGAAAAGGATTTATGATCATTCATTATTATTTTCAGTTGAGGACTCGGGTCTCCCTGCATTGCCAGGACAGGCCTCAGACTCACAGGCACACGTGAGGGGGCTGGGCCTACAGCTTGTGCGCCACACATGGTCACCGGTCACCGGTGGCTCCACGCAGACTGCTCGGCTGGTTTGCTTTGTGCCTGCGGCCGGGGCGGCAACATGGCGGGAGGGTGCGGTGGAGCAGAATCATCAGGAGCTGGGGACTGAGGGGACTGAGGGGCTCCACCAGCTCCCAGTAGCATCGCCCCAGGGAACAAGCCTTAAGCAGGTCTTCTGAGACGCTAAGGTCTAGATCGTAGGACCCTGTGGATTCCGGAGCTGAGGCCCTGCTGAAGCAGAAATCGCAGCCCCAGATCAGCCACACTGGGACAGTATTGTGAAGGAGCCAGAGCAAGGGACCCACCAGGCACGTGGTACCTGTGTAACCAGCCCTGGAGGCCAGCCTGGGACACAAAAAACAAAACAAACAAAATAAGACAAGCCCTAGAACTCCAGGGATCAGGGTTACTTAGTAAAGGACCACGCAGTAAGTAGGTTTAAAATTCTAAACACAAAAAAGGACTCCTGGTGAGAAAGGAGTGAGATAGAATTAGAATGAGAGGGACAGGCTGAGGGGACACTCGGGCAGAGCAGCTGTCTAGTAAGGCCTGGTCCTGGGTTCGAGCCCAGGCATGGGACGGTGGAGGGGCTAAAACTGAGAAGGACCCCAGAGGTGGAGCCTGTCTTGTGATTCTAGGACTCTGGAAGTGGGGACAGGAGGCTCACCATGAGTTCAAAGCCAGCCAGGGTCACAGAGTGAGACCCCTCTTCAAAAAACCCTTAAGTATTAAAACAGAGAAAGGATAAAACTAGTGTCCACCCACATTCATCACCCTTCCCTTGGGCTCCCGTTGTTTTAGATCAGGTTCTGGGGACATGTGTTTCAGGATCACATGCACTGCTCCACGTCCGCACACCCACTCTCCCATCCATCCACCCACCCACCCATCTGTCCGTCCGTCTGTCCCCCATCTTTCATTTTACAGCACCCCCCAACTTACATGAAGAAAAGTCCCAGCAGACCGCCAGCTCTCTCATCGGTCAGAGAGAGAATGAGGCCTCAGACTCTGAGAAGCCTCCCTGAAGTCTCGGGGACGTGGTGGGTGGGGCAGTCTGGCTCCGAGGCCCTGGGGGCCCTTGGCTCCCGTGGGGAGAAGCCTCGCGGCCCAGCCCTGCCAGCCGAGGGGGACAGAGGGGGACGGGGCCCTGGTGCCTCTGGGGCCCTGGTGCCTCCGTCCTGTCAGTTTGCTTGTTGGTTGGTTGGTTTGGTACCGGGGATCGAGCTCAGGACCTTGCGCTTGCCGGCCAGGTGCTGCCCCGCTGAGCTGCGCCCCCGGCCCCCTCTATCAGTCTTGTGTCCGTTTTACCCCAGCCCTGCCCACATCCTCCGACCCCTGCCCTGGAAAGACAGCGCTAACCTGGGTCTGGGCCTGGCCGCTCCTCACGCAGCCCTGGCTCGGGGAAGGTGACGGCGAGGGAGGAGGCTGGCGGGCTGCTCCGCCCTCTGCCCGGAGCCCGCTCCTTCGCTCGCTCCTTCCTGCACCCGAGGGGCTGGAGGGTCCAGCCGTCCGCCTCCGGAGCGGAAGCGCAGGGCCGGGCCCAGGCGCCGGGCCGGCTCTCTCCTCTTGCCCCACGTCTCCGTCTCCGGGAGAAGGCTGTGTAGCGTCTGACGCTTTCCCAGATTGCCGACTCGTCGCCCTCCCCCTCCACTCCCCAGCTCTGGGGCTTGCGCTCAGGGGCCCCCTGTCCCCAGCTACATCCCCGCCCTTTACTTTTTATTAGGAGAAAGGGTCTTGCTACATTGTTGCAGACTGACTGAACTTCGTCCTCCTGACTCGGCCTTCTGAGTTAGCTGGGAGTTGGGCCAGGTTACTCCGCCCGGCCCTCGGCTTTTAATAGAGGTAGAGCAGAGTGGGTTGTGGCTCAGAAGTACAGCGTTAGCCTGGCACCAGCGGCTCTGGGTCCTGGGTTCCACCCCCAGCAGCGAAAAAGACTTTTTTATTTTATTTTTTTTATTTATTTTTGGTACCGGGGATCGAACTCAGGTCCTTGCGCTGCGAGGCAGGCGCCGGAATTACTGAGCTAAATCCCTGGCCCAAAAGACTTTTTTAAAGTAGAGTTTACGGTCAATTCCACCAGCAGGCAACAAGTCTACTTAAAACTTAGTAACTTTTTCTGTGTTGTATTATTTTCATGTTTTTACCTTCTGTTTACAGCTTGTGATACTGACTTTCCGAGGTCAGTCCCCCGCGCCCCCCCGCCCCCCCGTTCCCTCTCGGAAGGGACAAGTCTTCCCGCGGTCCCGGCCGGCGGCGGCTGCTCGGCCCCGGGTCGGGTCGGGCTCCCGCGTCCGCCGTCGCTCAGGCTGCGAGCCTCGGCCCCCGGCCCGGCGAGAGCGGCGCTGCAGGCCCGGGCCAGGGAGTCCGCCAGGGCGGTTCGGGAGCCCCGCTGGGCCGGGCTTCCCGCCTCCAGAAGGCGGAGAGCTGCTCCCGGGTGACCCGGGGCTGGAGGCCCCAGTCGGGCTCGGGGCTCCCGGGCCTCGCGGCGGCGTCGGGCCCGGCGCAGCTCGGCCTGCCGGGGGGTGGCGCTCCATCCCAGGGCGGGGCGCCGGCCAGCAGCGGCTCCTCGCAGCCGAACCAGCACTCCGAGGGCTCGCGCGCCGAGCCCGCCGCCGCGATCCACAGCTCCCCACCCGGTCGCCACTCCAGGGCGGGCGCGCGGCACCCGGGGCCGGGGTCGGGGCGCGCGGCGCGGCGGAGCAGGCGCTCGGCCAGCGCGGCCGTGCTCAGCATGAGGAGGGCGGCGAGGGCGGCCAGGCCCAGCAGGATGGGGATGCAGGGGCCGCAGGGCGGCGGCGGCCACGAGGCTGCCTCCTCGGGGCTGCCGAGCTGCGCGGGGGGCGAGGGCATCTGGGGACAAGTGAGCGGGCGCGGCCTGGAACGCAGCACCGTGGGAGGCTGAAGCAGGAGCTTCTCTCGGAGTAATAAACAAAGAGGCCTAGGGTGCAGCTCAGGGCACAGGCACTGGGTTCGAGCCCCTGGAGAAAGAGAGACAGACACAGAGCAAAGGGGACTCAGAGAGGATGAGAGCAAGCAAGGGGAGGCCAGAGGGCAGGCAGGGCCTCCTGCGGCTTCCCAGCCCCTTAGGGGACAGCACCCCCCATCCCTGGAGAAGACTGACGCCCCTAAGGGCCCCTCCAGGCCCTGCTCCGGCTTGGAGAGGAAGCGGGGCTGGGCGGGGGGACTGAGCAAATGCCTCCGGGGTGCCCCTCGGTCCGTCCGCAGGGGCCTCCTGCACCCCACTCACCTCGGGCGGCCGGGCTCCTGTCCCTCCTCAGGGCCACGGTCCCTGTGCATACCGGGGGGTGCACGCCGCTTCAGATGAGGGCGGAAGGGAGGCCACACCTGTTGCGGGGCAACTGCGCCCCAACTCTCCTGCCCCACAATGTTTCCTAGGTGACGGGGGATGTGGTCACTGCGGCGGCGGGGAGAAGTTTCCTGTGTGAGGTGGGGCCCGGGATGGGCAGCGCCTGCCGAACTCGGCCTCACCCCGCCAAACGTTCATCCTGAGGAGGGGAAGGGGCTGCAGAGACCACCAGGCTGCGGCCTCTGCCCGTCCACAAACCTGTGCTGGCCTCTGCCCCCGCCCTCCGTGGCCCAGCTGTCTTATTAACACAGGTCTCATCTCCAGACCTTCCTCCGTGTTGAGAGGTGGAGGCGCCTGGGGCAGAAAGTGATGGGACCCAGGGGAGCCTGGAGTCCAGGAACCTCCCGGAGGTTGTCTTGTGTGACAAACTCATCGGCCGATGACGAAAGCATGGTCTACAAATGGGAAGTGACACGCCCAAGTCACAATCCACGGGTCTGTGTGTGTGTATCTGTGTGCGCGGCAGGAGGGGTGAAACCAAGGGTGGGACAGATATAAATACCTGCGCTGGTGAGCTCGCTGCGCACAGCTCTTCACTGGTACTCCTGTCTGTCCATGTGTCTGCAAAGTGACAGCCGCTTAATGGAACCGGTTGCAGAAATCTGTTGGTGTTATTGTCTCACAAAGCTGTCACAGGACCAGCCTGCTTCAGTCTGACTGGCCTGGGGTTCGGAGGGAGAGGCCAGACTGAGGCCTGGGGAGTAGCCCGGAGCCGGGGAACCTGGGGAGCCCCAGCACTCAGCCTCTGCCCCCTGCAGAAACCTGAAGAGGTTAGAATTTGATGAGATTGCAAATCTGAATTGAATAGTACTAACGTGTACTGTAGGGTTTGGTTTGTTTTTGTTTTTTTTTAGACAAAGTCTCACTATGTAGCTCAGGCTGGCCTTGAACTCACTGTGTAGCCCAGGGTGGCCTTGAACTCCTGGGATCCTCTTGCCTCAGCCTCCCTAGTGCTGGGATTACTGACATGAGTCATCACACCCGGCTTGAAGTGTACTGTGGTCTTGAAAATGGTTATGATGGTAAGTTTTTTGTGTTTTTTTTAATAATTCTTTTTTGTTTTCTTTTGGTACTAGGGATCAAACTCAGGACCTTGCACCTTCGAGGCAGAGGACGGAACCACTGAGCTAAATCCCTGGCCCCTACGATGGTAAGTTTAATCTTTTTTTTTTTTTTTGGGTACCGGGGATCGAACTTGGGACCTTGCGCTTTTGAGGCAGGCGCCAGAACCACTGAGCTAAATCCCCGGCCCTGGTAAGTTTAATCTTTATGTGTAATTTTACTATAAGCAAAAAATGATTTTATTTTTTAAAAAACCTAATAAGCCTGGCATGGTGGCACACGCCTATAATCCCAGCACTCAGGAAGCTGAGGCAGAAGGATCAGCACAAGTTTGAGGCCAGCCTGAGCTACAAATCAAGACTTTGTCTCAAAAAACCAAAACCAAAAAAAAAAAAAAAAATCTTAAGTTAAAAAAAAATTCTAATAAGAACATTAGGTTTATTCTTTTAATCTCTCCTTTAAAAGAAAAAAGGCGGGCTGGGGATTTAGCTCAGTGGTTCTGCCTCCTGCTTCGAAAGCATAAGGTCCTGAGTTCGATCCCTGGTACCAAAAAAAACGAAACCAAAACAAAAAAAGGCAAAGAGTAGCCAGCCATGGTGGCACACCCTGTAATCCCAGCATGTGGGAGGCTGAAGCAGGGGGATCACTGTGAGTTTGAGGCCAGACTGGGCTACATGGTGAATTCAAGACCAGCTTGAACTACATAGCGAGATAGCTAGACCTTGTCTCAAACAAACAAACAAACAAACAAACAAAAAAGCGAATATGGTATCTAAAAAGAGTAAACACTGAAAACTAGAAAGTTCAGATGTAATTTTTATGCTACTAAAAAATCACATTGGCTGTTTTGATTCTTGTTTTTCATTGCCTTTTATTTTTAAAAAAAGTTTAAATATTTTAACTGGTTCTTTAAAAAATCAAACAGGAATTATCATATGATTCAGCCACTCTGTTTCTGCATATATACCCAAATGGACAGAAATCAAGGGTGTATGTTTATAATCCCAGCAGTATGGGAAGCTGAGGCAGGAGGATCCCAAGTCTGAACCCAGCCCAGGGAATTTAGTAACTTAGCGAGACTCTGTCTCAAAATAAAAAAGAAAGAGCTGGGAATATGACTCAGTACAAAGGACCTGGGTTCAATCCCCAATGCTTGAAAACATACCGAGCAGTTATTTTACACTCATGCTCACTGCAGCATTATTCAAAACAGCCTAAAAGGTGTCCAGGTGTCCACGGGCAGATGAATGGACACCTGCACTGTGCTGTGAGCCTGGTATCATTCAGCTCTCAGAAGGGGGAATCCGAATACCCACTACAGCATTCGTGAGCCTTGGAAACAGAAGCTGGGGAAGGTGGGCCAGATGCAAAAGGCCCCGGAGCCCAGGTCTGTGACTGCCTGAACAGCTACCTTCTTGGACGGAAGGAAAGTGGTGGTTTCCGGGGGCAGGAGGAAAGGGAGATGGGGAGTCACTGGCTTTTTGTTTTGGTTTTGGGGCACAGGATGGAACCCAGGACCCTGGCCGTGTAAGCACACTCTCCTCCACCCAGCTGCAGCCCCAGCCCAGGGGTTAATGTTTAATGGCTGCAGGCTTCAGTTTGGGAAGATGGAAACCATCCTGGAGATGGGTGGGGGTGGCTGGATGCCCCACACTGTAAATGTACCTATGCTGCTAAACTACGCATGTAAAATGGTTAAAATGAACTGGGCACGGTGAGACCCACTTGTAATCTCAGCTGCTAGGGAGGCTGAGGCAGGAGGATTTTGAGTTCAAGGCCAGCCTAGGTAATTTAGGATGACTCTGTCGCAAAATAAAAAGGGATGGGGGCTCAGCGGTGGCGTGCTTGCCTGGGGTATGTGAGGGCTTGTGTTCAGTCCCCAGTATTGCAGGAATAAAAGGTTAAAGTGGTAAATCTCTTGGTCGAAATCCAGGGTTCAGGCTTGTTGAAGGTATTCTGAGTGATGCCAGGGCACGGCCAAGGCTGAGAACCCCTGGTCTAATCTGATCTTTGGGAGTCTGACAGCTTCTGTACTGTTAGGTGACCAATGAGCGTCTCTTGTTGAGAAACTGTCTCTTTGGAAGGCGGCAGTGACAGTGTGGAACTCCACACCCAGCTGTGACTTGCTGGGTTGAACTTCTCGTCCATGATGGATGAGTGACTATTTCTCTTGGGGACTTGGGACTGAGATGGAATGACCCCCTGGGTCACTGAATCTGTTCCCTGTAAAAGTTGAAGCCAAGTGTGGTGGTATGTGCTTGCCATGGCAGCCACTCTGGGAGGCTGAGCCAGGGGAATCACAGGTGTGAGCCCAGTCTGGGCAGCTCAGTGACTTAGAGAGACCCTGTCTGTTATGTTTATATCTAGATGGCCTCTCAGAGCCTCGGGTGCTCATAGGTGGGGTTTGGGGAGGTGACTGGATTGTGGGGGAGTGGTTCTCATGAGTGGATGAGTCTGCTGATGAATTTATAGCTAAATGTGATTTGGGAGGGGAGCCTGGCCTGAGGAGGCATCACTGGGGGCGTGGCCTGGAAGGGTCTCTCTCTCTCTCTCCCTCTTCCTCCCTTGATCCCTCTCTCTGCTTCCCGCTGCCCTGCCATAAGCTGTTTCCCTCTGCCATGTTGCCCTGCCTTGGAGCCAGCCAGCCATGGACCGAAGCCTGCAAACTGTGAGCTGAATAAACCTTTTCTCCTTAGATTTGTGGGTGTCAGGCATTGTGTCCCGGCGACAAGCAAGTAACTAAGACACTGTCTCAAAATTTAAAAATTGAAAATAAAAAGGTTGGGGATGGATCTCAGTGTAAAGGATCCAGGTTCAACCCCCAGTACTGGAAAAAGAAAGTTGGGAGATGTCAGCGGCCCCTCTCCATTTCGTGGGAGACAGGGGCGGGGAGAAGAGGTGATAGTGTCCACAGCCCCATCTCCCGTCCCTCCTGATGCCAGTTATATTCCTGTCTCTGGGTTCCTGTGTCCTTACAGTTTTCCCTTGTGCTTAATAGTTTGGGTTGGGTTTAATTTATATAACCCTAGGCCTCTTTCTTAGGTTCTAGATGGCAGACAACTCAAAGTGAATAAGTAAAAAACAGCTTTATTATTGTTGCAAAGCACATTTCTTTTTCTCTATTTGTATAATATTTTACAATAAAATGTGTTTTTAAAAATCCATCATCTCCTCCTTCTAAGTCTATTCTTTTTTGTTGTTGTTTGTTTTTGGTACCAGAGATCAAACTCGGGACCTTTCACTTGTGAGGCAGGCAACAGCACCACTGAGCTAAATCCCCAGCCCCAGAGTAATCTTTAAAAATATGAATCTGAAGAGGCCAGGGATTTAGCTCAGTGGTGCTGTTGCCTGCCTCGCAAGTGCAAAGTTCCAAGTTCGATCTTCTGTACCAAAAAAAAAAAAAAAAAAGAATCTGGGGCTGGGGATTTAGCTCAGTGGCACCACACCTGCCTCACAAGCTCAAGGTCATGAGTTCGGTCCCCAGTACCAAAAATAAAATTTTTTTTAAAAAAATACATGAATCAGATCCCATTACCTTCTTGCTTTAAAATCTTTGAATGGGGGCTGAGGATTTAGCTCAGTGGTTACGTTGCCTGTCTTGAAAGCGCAAGGACCCAAGTTTGATCCCCAGTACAAAAAAAAAGCCAAAATCTTTGAATGAATAGTTGATCAACATCATCAATGTAAATTACTTCATTTAACCTACATGGTCCTTCATAAAGTGTCTCCAAAGCCAACTCTCCAGCTTCAACTTTTCCACTTGCATCATATCACATTCAGACAACATCACAGCTCCCCAGTTAACTGTCTGACTTCCTCATTGTACATGCCTATTCAACCACCCTCCTACCCATCCATCCATCCACCCATCCATTTATCCATCCATCCACCCATTGATCCACTCATCCACCCATCCACCCATCCATGCATCCACCCATCCATCCACCCATCCATTCACCCATCCATCCATCCATCCATCCACCCACCCACCCATTCACCCATCCTCCCATCCATCCACTCATCTACTTACCCAGCCAGCCATCCACCCTGTCCCTCCATCAAAAGTCTAGTGACTTGGCACCTTACCAGGTGCTGCCATGCATAGCCTCTTTCTCCCTTGAGATTCAAATGCTCTTCATCCTGCCTCACTTGTATTTGTCCATCAAGACTCAGCTAAAACATTTTCCCATGGACACCTTCCATTACTTCTCCAGAGACTAAGAAGAGATGGAGCTCTCCCTGTGTTGGGGGAAAGGGTGTTTGGGGAGGGCTTCAGGGAATAAGTGATGCTTGTCTGTCCATCCAGGGTCTCCTAAGGAATGGCTCCACTTCTAGGCTTGATTCTAAGAAATACCAGGAACTATGGGGATGGATTGGCCCAGATTTGGGAAACAGGCAGGCAAACCAAGTTCATTGGCTGACACAGCATGTGGAATGTGAGACTCAACGTCTAACTATCAGGAGGAGCAAACAGTGTGGGTTGGAGTGCGTGTATGAATGAGGGAGCATCCACACCTGCACGTCTGTGTGCTTGTGCTTGACTGTGTCTGGGGAGTTGGAATCCCTGAGGATGCCACGGAATGGAGCTGCAGTTGGTGGGTTAGGCTCTGAGAAGAACCTGGGGTACTTTCAAGTGGGTCTCCTCACTTGCTGCAGAAAAATTTACACTGTAGGGCCGGGGATTTAGCTCAGTGGTTCCGGTGCCTGCCTCACAAGCGCAAGGTCACGAGTTTGATCCCCAGTACCCCCCCCCAAAAATTTTACACTGTCAAGGCAGGCATGGTGGTGCACAACTATAATCCCAACACTCTGGGAGGCTGAGGCAGGAGGATTGCAAGTTTGATCCCAGCCCAGGCAACTTAGCAGTGTAGTGAGGCCCTGTCTCAAAAAACAAAGCTTACTGAGAAGGCTTTGAATTCAGTCCCTAGTCACACACACACACGCACGCACGCACGTACGCACGCACGCATGCACGCATGCACGTCAATCCTAAACTGTGTTTGCAACTTGGCTACCCATAAAACTGTGTTGGTTTTGTCAGTAAAACTGCAAATCCAAGCAGTATTTACTGAGTATCTGCTATGTTGAGGCATGGGCTAGGCAGCAGGATCCGGCGTCAGACACAGGCCTTGCTCACGTAGCATTCACTTGGCAGACACATAACCACGCAATGTCAGGCCTGTGTCTGGAGCCCTGGCCACAACAGCCCAAGCTCCGCTGGTCACACACCTGTAGGTACCATCCCTGTGGTGTAGAGTTCTTAAGAGGGCTTCTTGGATAAATCTGCTCAGTTTATTTGGGAAGAACGCAGACAGGCGGGCAGGAAGCAGGCTTTTCCAGCAGGGCAGCCGCTCCAGAGGACAGGTGTTTGCCAACCTGGAGGCCACTGTTCTGGGTGCTCCGGGAAGGTCTGGATGATACCGAGCCCAGAGCAGAGGTGTGAGGGCTGGAGACGCGCTTGAGAGTCTGCACAAAGCGTTTGCTGCTGGCCCCAGAGCCCGCCCCCACCTGTCTCCCAGTCCACATTGAAGCTGCAGCTCAGAGCCCGGATCCCGAGGTCTGGGCTGAGGCATCTGAGAACCTCCACCCGCCTAGCGTGGGAAGAGGCAGCCCTTTGAGCTGAGCATTTCAAGACATTTCTGTCACTCCCCAGAAGAACCCCAAGCCCAGTAGTGGCCACTCCTTCCCACGCCTCCTACCTCCACCACATACTCACTCACTTACTTTGCGTCCCTATGGATTTGCTGGTCCAGTATTTCCTAGAATGGAATCATACAGTATGCGATCCTATGTGATGATCTTTTCATACACTACAATGTTTTTTGTTATTGTTGTTTTTTTGTTTTTTGTTGTTGTTTTGAGACAGGGTCTCACTACGTAGCCCGGGCTGGTATTGAACTCACAGTGATCCTCCTGCCTCAGGCTCCCAAGTGCTAGGATTGCATGTATGGACCGCCATGCCCAGCCACCATGTTTTTAAAATTCATTCATGCTGTTGCTCCTGTCAGTATTTCATTGCCTCTTTCCCAGTTCTTCATTCCTTTTTATAGCCAAATAATAGTCTATTGTGTGATGTACTGCACTTTCCTTATTTTCATTTGACAGACATGTGAGTGGTTTTCACTTTTTGGCAATTGCGAGAAATGCAGCTAGCAACATGCATGCGTGAGCTTTTAGATGGGCATATGTTTAGCTTGGCAGCATAACTAGGGCAGAACTGTGGAGTCATATGGCAAGCCTGTTTCACTTTTTGAGGAACTGTGGGTGGCCAAGTTTACAATGGCTAAATTCATCCCCTCCTCCTTGCCTGTACAGACCTCACTGCCTCCTCAGAGGCAGCTTCCACACACTCCTTGCCCATAGCCAAGGAACCACAAACCTGGCGATGGGCAGAATGTGGCAGCCACCAGCCTCGGGCAAGAAGGGAACCCACAGAGGGGTGGAGGAGGCCATCTTTCAGGGAGACCTTGGCCCTCTGCCGGTCACGGTCACTCACGCCCCCTTCTGGCCCAGGCCTAGTCCTCGCTTCTTCGCTGTCATGTGACTAGACTCCTGGGACTCAGGGTTCCAGCTGTCTTTGTCCACACACACCCAGCTCCACCTCCCCGCCCCACAGAGCCCGGCCTGGGCCTTGCCATGCTCTCCTGGTGACAGAGGGGAGGCCCAGAAAGGTTGGGGAGGTGATTGAAAGACGAGGGTCACGATCTGTGGTCCAGGCTCCTGTGTGAGCCAGATCAGAGGCCTCCAGAGGGAATGCTGGTGAAAATCAGCTCTGTGCTTCAGCAAAGGAGCCTGTGGTCAGCCCCGAGCTTCTGCCGGCCCAGAACTGATGCCCTCGGCCCTGAGTCCTCTGAATAGCACGACCCCAGGTGGTGGGAGCAGAGGAGCAGGCCCGAGGCCAAGGCAAGTGAGCAGCAGCAGGGTGCTGTGTATTTGATATGTGGAGCTGAGGCACAGAGCGGTCATCTGGGGAGACACCATCGCATTCAGCATGGGACTGTCCTGGTTTCAGCACTGAACTCTAATCCTGGGCAGACTGAGAAAGTGAGTGAACAGCATCCAAAATCACACAACTAGCTAGTGCTGCAGCAGACAACAAACCCAGGTCTGACGTCTCGGAAGTCCTTCCTCCACAGAATGAATTCCTTATCGAGCCTGTCAGTCACACCAAATGTTCAGATCCTCAACAAGAGCATCCTAGAGGCCTGCTGTTCCTCTCTCCCCTCGCCCTCTCTGCAGGAGTGTCTGACCCAGCTGGGGCTCCAGCCTCACCCAGGGCCATCTCGCTGCTAGCAGGGAATAAACAGAGGCCGGCCCGGTTACCCGCTTCCGTGGACGCTGAAGCTGCAAGCGTGATATCTGAGGAGTGAGAGTGAGCTGGGAAGGCCTAAGCACCCGGGCTGGGGTCAGGGCTGGGAAGGACCTGTGAGCGCCGGGGTCACATCTGCGTCTCTGGCCTCATCCGAGTTCCTGGGCAATCTGCTCAGTCGGGGCTGGATTTTGCTTTCCATGGATCCCATATTAAGTTTTGGGCGGTTTGTATAAACCACCACTTAGGGGAGGCCCTCGACACTCTGTTCCTTCCGACCCAAACCCAGGATTGATGTCATCTGCGACAGGCTCGGCACCCCCGCTTCAGGACCCACCTTACCCTTTACTGTTCAGAATGTTTTACGCTGGCCATCGCATTCCCGAGCTGCCACATTCCCTGTTCTGCTCCGCTCTGCTTCTGACCCATCTGTTGGCGCTTCTTTGCCTGGAGCTGCAACCTGGGGTTGCCTGTCACCCACATTCTGCCTTCACTGCCTCGCCCTGTGCCAATGACTTCAGGGCGCCTGGCTGGTCACGCAGTCCAGGCCCGCCCTGCCACACTTTCCCACACAGCGTCCACCTAGATCCCTGCAGCCACCGTCCTGGGCCTACCGCCAGGCAGTGCGCCCTCCAGTACCCGTGGCCCGTCCGCTCTGATGCCCTCCTCCTGCAGATGCCAGACGTGTCCCACTCTGTAGGTGCTGCTGACCCTTCTGTCTGTTCAAACGTCTCCCACATGCTGTTGCTCCCAGCACAGTGAGTCTTCTACAATCCCAAGAATTTGCTTGGCACATTATTATATTTCTTTTCTTTTTAATTTAATTTGATTTGATTCATTTGCTACACTGGAGATTAAACCCAGGGCTTATCACCCTGAGCAACATCCCCAGCCCTTTCTGGATTTTTTATTTTGAGACAGGGTCTCACTAAGTCACCAAGTGGCCCAGGCTCAGACTTGCAGCCCTCCTGCTTCAGCCTCCCAGAGTGCTGGGATCACAGGCATGTACCACCATGCCCAGCTCACAAATGACTTTCATTTCAGATATACAGACCAACTTACACAAGATTTTAATTTTTGCCACTAATAAAATGAGTTTATTTTATTAAGTTTTCAGAAAATACACTTGTAAAATTACCCACATTCTGGGCTAAAGGGTAGCTTTTACAAAGAGAGTAAAATTTTCTAAAATTCTCTTGGTTATTAAAGTATATATAGAGCCGGGAATTTAGCTCAGTGGTTCTGCTGCCTGCTGTGCAAGTGCAAGGTCCTGAGTTTGATCCCCAGTACCAAAAAAAAAAAAAAAGTATATGGATGCACAGGATTATTTTTCAGGTTTTATGATCCACTTGACAAAATCTGTAGTATCTGAATTCAATCAAGCTAAACTCTAATGTAGCTAGTGGCTAAGGACACTAAGAGGAAAGACCACATTTTGTGAAAATCTGAAAGGAGAGATAAACACTACTTGGTACCTACCGTGCGCCAGACGTGCGCCAGACCTGCGCCAGGCTGTTGTATCATCCCCAGTTTACAGATGAAAAAGCTGAAGCTAAGGGCTGGGGATTCACCTGCTTTGCAAGTGCAAGGACCTGAGTTCGATCCCTGGTACCTAAAGAACAAACTGAAGCTGAGTAGGTCACAGATCGGGGAAGAACTAGGGGGAGGCTTTATAAAGGCTCATGTTTCTTCATGATGTGTCATTCTGTTTTGTGGTATGTGTGGTGCTAGGAATGGAAACCAGGGTCTTCTCACTGAGTACATTCCAAGGCCCTCTTTGTTCTTATTTTTCATTTTGAGACGGGGTCTCAGGATATTGCTAAATTGCCAAGGCTGGGATGGAAACTGTGATCCTTCTATCTTAGCCTCCCAGAGGGCTGAGACCAGGCCTGTGCCTAGCCTGAACTTAAATTTTGATGCTGTCAGGGCGCAGCCCGGAGGAGTCCTCAGAAGGGAGATAGGCCTTCACGTCACCCTGTGAGGTAGGACTCCCCCACGGAGACATCTCAGGACACGGCGGGGGACACAGGCGGAGCTGGGAGGTGAGGAGGAACTGGGAAGTGCTCCGGCTCGTGCAGCTTGGAGGGCTGGCCTGGTGCAGCCCGCTGAGGTGGCCAGGCAGGTGGAACAGTGCCGAGGCCTGGCTTCTGGGCTCCAGAGGCCTCCTCAGCTGAAGGACACTTCCACGCTGAGCTGGGGCTGCCCAGTTTCTGTCGGGGGAGCTGCTCCCTCTGTGGGCTGGGAACCAGGTCCCGTTCCTCCTGGAGTTCAGGGCAACTTTACGTCAAGGCGCCGGGGGCAGAGGCCATCTGGGACTGGACATTGTAAAGTTGGCTTCCGGAGTCTTTTCCAGTCCCGACAATCCTTTATTTACTCTTGGTGCCTTGGCCTGGAAGGGATGAGGCAGACTGGGTAAATTCAGGGCTGATAACCCTGCAATAGGGACACTCCTCTCCTCGAATGATTAGCATGCCTTTCCACACAGCAAGCACACACCCACTGGGGACCTGTAACCCCAGCTCCAGGCCCTGTTGCAATGCTCCTTCGCTAGGGTTCCCAACTTTAAAAGTAATTAGCCATGTACCTGCCCACCCTGCTCTGGTCTGGAGCCTGGGCCTTGCAGTAGCTCGCCTGCCCCCAGAGCTGACCCTGGTCACTTCCAGCCGGACAGCTTTGGACAAAGAGCTTTGAAAGAAGTAGGATGCCTGTCTCTCTCTCTCTCTCTCTCTCTCTCTCTCTCTCATGCAGAAACATACTCCAGCTAATGAGTGTGGGCTAGATCAAGGATTTCAACTCAGAATTCTGACTTTATGTCCAGTATTTTCCCAATTCATAAGAAGGAATTATTTATAAATAAGAAACTAAAGAAAAGCCAAATACAAACCCTGCAAGAACAGACACAAACGTGAGAAAAGAACCAGGAGGATCATTTAACAGAAGACTCTGTGCAGCCGATACCCACAGGGCTGCCTCCAGTGATTCATAGGACGATCTTTTCCTGGGGCCAGGTGTGACTCCAGGTGGGAACTCAGAGGTGAATCACACTGGGCCTGCCTCAGAATGAGCTCTCCTAGTAGAGAAGGCTTCTCTGTAAACAGATAAATTACAGTGCAGGGTGATTAGAGCCTTAATAGAGCAATAGAGGAAGCACAGCCAGGGAGCCGGGAAGGAATGACAAATTCCACTTGGAGGGGAGGGGCTGGGAGGGCCATCTTGGCCTTTGTGATATGAGGTTGGCACCAGATGGGGCTGAGAGTCTCTGCACGGACTGGAAGCTGCCAGGTGGGCAGAGGAGGGGAGCATTTTTAGGGTGGAAGATGAGGCTACTGTAGGGGCTGAACTGGGAAGCCGTGGAGACAGGAGCCAGCGGGGGGAGGGGCCCCCAGACAACTTAGTGAAGGCGCTTGTGCTTGCAAGACTGTCTTTTATTCATTGAAACAGTTAAGAATGAACAGAAAAGCACTGCTCAAATTTGTTTTGGGGAGAACTGGGCATGGTGACACACACCTGTGATCCCAGCACTCGAGAGGCTGAGGCAGGAGGATCACTGCAAGTTTGAGGCCAGCCTGGGCCACATAGTGAGTTCAAGACCAGCCTGAATTACATAGAAGACCTTGTCTCAAAGAAAAAGTCAGGGGCGGGGATTTAGCTCAGTGGTTCTGGTGCCTGTCTCGCAAGCACAAGGTCCTGAGTTTGATTCCCCATACCAAAAAAAAAAAAAGTCAGAAAAAAATTGTTTTGGGGTGACTCTGTCCCAATAAAATCTTCCGGGGAGGCCCAATATGCAAATGAGGAAGTGGAGTTTTGTTTTGTTTTGTGTTTTTCCTAAACAGGATACAGAGCTTCCATTTTTTTTTCTTGTTTTGTTTTTTTTGGTAGCAGGGATCGAACTCAGAACCTTGCAGTTGCCAGGCAGGTGCAGTACCACTGAGCTGCATCCCCCTCCCGCTTCCATTGTCTAGAAATAAATTTTGAAACATCCTTGGTGAGGGTTGTGAAATACAATTTGCAGGCTATGGGTTTGGACTGAGCTCCTGCACTAGATCTAGTAGACTAAACCAAGATAGTCACTCACACTACAGTTCCAGGTCACCAAGCCAAAGCTAAATATTTATCTGACCTTCTGAGAAATCAGGAGAGGAACAGCTAAATTCTCATATGGGCTAGTTTTATTTGGCAAAATAAGGAAGTCCCCTCTGTTTTAATCTTTATAAAGAAAATAACTTTGAAATTGAGGTAGAAAGGAGAGAAGGAAACTCAATTTTTTGCTTCCCCTATTACCTTAAAACTCTGGGACAGATTCCTGCTCTGCTCTGCATGATTACCCGGGGACTTTCTGTATTGCAAGGTTTTTTAGCCCTAAATTTACCTGATCTATCTCGCTTCCTTCACGACTGAGAACACCAAGCTAAGAGTAACCAAAGTAATTTTTGGGGAGTCTCAATTGCCAGAGTCTAGGCACCCAGCTCTAGACAGCCCTGGGGCCATGGGCAGAAGTCTTCAAACCTATAGTCACCTTGGATTCCAGGAGAGCAGAGCCTTGGGGATCACCCATGGGGTCACCTCCCCAGCAGGAGCTGTTACCACCTCATGGGACCCAGGCCATGAGGACAATCACAGGAAGCAAATTACTCCTGGAGCTGGGAGGATTTCTCCAGAGACAGGGAAACCAGAACTGAGCTAAAAACCAACTGGCCCTGAGGGGGTGAGCCGAGGCCTTCATCTCCTCTTTGGGGACCTCCTCAGTCCCCTTCTGGTGACAAAATGACCCATCCACATTTTTCTGTTTCTGCTTTCCCTTTTCTGTCTTTAAAAACAATCTCCTTGGCTCAGCTCATTGTTTTATGGAATGACATGCTGCCTAATTCTAGAATTGTGAACAAAAGCCAGTTAAGATCTTTAAACTATACTTGTTGCTGGCCAGGGATTTAGCTCAGTGGTTCTGCTGCCTGCCTTGCAAGCTCAAGGTCCCAAGTTCAATCCCTGATACCAAAAAAACCAAAAAGAAATAAACTATACTTGTTGTAATTTTGTCTTTTGACAGGGTGAAGAGGCAGATCCTCATTGTGGGCTTTAAATTGGTACCAAGACTTTGGGACGGCAACTCTGCTTTCAGGGCCTTTCAGGGCCAGTGACATGGGAGAAGGTTCACCCCATGCCTGCCACAGCCGCCCCTCCCACCCCTACCCCTGTCCAAGTCCATTCTCCCCGTACCAAAATCCAGACTGCAATCCTCCGGACACGCAAATGCGGTCCATCCTCCGGCTCACACCATCTCTGCCTTCTCCCTCGCAGAAGAGTGGCCCAGCTCCCAGCCTCAGCCTCAGGCCCCCACCGTCTGCCACTGGCAGCTCCCAGACGCCCCCTCTGCTGGCTTCTCTCGCTTACCACCAGCGTCCTGCCTTCCTTGTGTTTCCAAGTTCAGCAAACACACTTCCGGCTCAAGGCTTTGGAACTTGTTCCCTCCACCTGGGCTGCTCTGCTTCTCTCCGTTACTTCAGTGTGATCTCTCCCTGAAGGGCCCTGAGCAGAGGCCTCCCAGCTTCGAGCGCAGCCTCCCCTGTTGCCCCAGGCCTCACTACTTCTTGCACACGACACACTCCCTTGTCCACTGGCCTGGGGGAAAGCGGCTGGGCAGCTGCGGGCATCTCCGGCCTCTCAGGTGGGATCAGCGTATGTCGAGTGGGGCTTTTACCAAAGGGAAGACCGTGAGAAGACGTCAGATGCTAGTCACTCTGCAGCAGTAGAAACTTTGGAAGGGTTTGGCCCTTCATCACCTGTAGGGACTGGGATGTGGTGAGGTTTAAGCCAAACTCATCTAGATTTGGGGGGCAGGTAGGCCCTACTCGGCGTGTGGGCTGAATAGAAAGCAGATCAACAGGAGCTGACGGGGTGGAGGCTGATGTCCACCGCCTTCTCCCTCTTTCTCCTGGCTCCTCAGTCACTTCCTCAGAGGAAACCCCAGAGGCACGTGCAGTGGCTGGATGGTGGCCTTCCTCATCCCTGGGAGGACAGGAGAGCAGCCCTGAGGTCCCTTCCAAGGCAGGAACCTCCCTGACACTTAGATAAGAAGACTGGGACTTGTGTGGGGACCTGAGGACCAGTCTGCAGGCAGCGAGGAGACTCTGGACTCCAGGCAGGCAGGGCATGAAGCTGGGGCATGTGTGCTGCCTCTGTCCTGAGGGTCCCTGATGTATCATGGAAGTTACAGCACCAGGATATGCTCATCTCGAACTTGGAGGAAGCAAAGCAGGGAGGAGGGGGCCACGCAGGCATCACTGGTGGGTGTCAGGTGCCACGGCTCAGCTCCACTCCCGGAATCTCGCCACTCAGGTGTCCTCCCTCTTCTGGCTCCACGGGGCAGGACTCGCTTTGCTATCTGGGACTACACCTCAGCCCCAGATGGTGAGCCTGTGGGCAGGGGTGGAGTCCTCTGTGCCCAGGCCCTGTCTTTTAGAGCCTGCTGCCTACTCCCTCCCTGGCTCTACCCTTCTCTCAAGGGAGAGCCCTGCTGAGCCAGTGAGCCAGGAAGCCCATGCTAGAGGCGTCAGGCACAGGACTGAGGTCACCTATAAGGACTTGAGTCAGTCCTGGAAGAGAAGGGCTAAAAAGAGCAGAAATCTACGACAGCACAGTGGGGGCTTCAGACCCAAACAAAGGAACCACTGTCCCGAGCGGGCGTCACCGGGACCCAAGCCCAACAATCACCAAGAAAGAAGCTCTGCACCCTCAGGTCCCCAGGGGACTGACTGCACCAGCCACCCTTTTCAGAGAGGAGATATTTGAAAGGGCCTAGCAGACTGTGGGGGTAGCTGGCTGCATGGTGGAGGCAGCATAGCCAAGCACCCATCTCGGTAGATGCTATATGGTGGTCATGTGGGTTTTCACTACACAATTCTGCAAATTACCATATGTTTGCATTTTTGTTATAATAAAATATCAGGGACAGGAGAGAAGAAAATCGTCAGGCATGGTAGCACTGCTCAGTGTGGGGTGTCAGGAGTTTGTTCCCTCTCTGGGAGAATGTGCATTTCAAATGCCTGGAGAGGGCAGTTTATCCTGGCAGCTGCAGAATCCAGAGAGAGTGCCCACAGAACACTTAGGGCAGGGGAACCTTCCACAAGCCCCTCAGACTGTACCCCCGAGCTGACTGGCTACTTCGTTCACCCAAGGTTTCTGGCCCTTTGGCGGGTGAGTTTGCTCAAGTCTATCAGCCCCTCCTGAGCGGCATTTGGCACTTGGCCCATGTAGACCCCACCTTGCCACCTGTGACCTTTGAGGGAGGGGCAAGATAAGAAGTCCCAGACCCTGCTGACGCCAGATCCCACAGGCTGTCCTGTTTGCACAGGAGGTGAGGTTCACATGATGAAGGGCAGGGGAAGAGTTTGAACCTGCTATAAAAGGTCTGGCAGTTCTAGGGTTATTTCACATCTGAAACTACCAGGTGAGGGCATGAGCATGTGTGGATCTGAGTTGGGGGTATTCAAGTATGAGCTGGAAAAGAGGACGCCTGGGTGGAGTAGCAGGGTATCTGAGCTGGTCTGAGGCGCACAGGTGTCTGGTTTCAGCTGAGGGGACGGGGCACGCGGGACCCTCGGGGAGGGAAATGGCCAGGTGTGTGTAAGTGCAAAGGCTATGACAAATAGACCAGGCAGCTGGGATCTAGTAACGAGCTCATCCCGACTCCTACTGCAACTTCTCCGTCTGTCTCAGTTCCACCAGAACTACTTGTATACTGGTGTCAGCGTCTCTCCCATCTCCACCTTTGTTTCCAAGGTGACACATAGGCACCTCCAAAATGCTCCTTTCTTTCTGATCTGAGACCAAGGTGACGCTAGGGGTTCAACCCTGTTCCGATGCCCCGAGAGTCAGCCGGTCTACTCCTGCCTGCCCTCGTCTAGGTCTTGCTCAGATTCCTGGCGTGGTGGACTCAGCCATATCTACCCTCTGCTGATGTCTCCACTTCCCCTTAGAATACTTCTTTCGGGTGCCAGGGGGGAACGGGGAGTCACCCGGCTGGATGAACTGTTGCGATGGGCCTTTTTATTTGGGAGGGAAGAGGAACGTTGGGTACAGCCAGACCAGGGAGAGCCCCGTGGATTAGGAGCACAGAAGATGGATCAAAAGGAGCAGGGGTATGGCTGGCGTCTTCTCCCAACTCACCACTGGGCCGCTGGTGTGAGCGGAAGGACTGAGAAGCTGTCTAAGCTGGAGGCGAGAATGCCTATGTGAATGAAGTCCAGAGCAAAAAGAGTGAGCCTTCATTCTCTCCTTCCCTTTCCAGCCCCAGGATGTTGACCATTGTTCTCCTGGCCCTTCTCTGTGCCTCCACCTCTGCCAAGGCCGGTAAGCGAGGATCCGGAGCTGGAGCCTGGCCATGGGGATGGGGGAGGCAGCCCCGGTGCTGCTGAGGCAGGCTCGGGTGGCGGAACTGAGTTGTGGGAAAGTTGGGGTGGTGGGAGCAACCGAGCTCCCATGGGCTTTCTCCCTCTGTCTCCCCTCCAGCGCTGGCAAGGTCCTCCTCCTACAATGGGGAGTATGGAGGTGGTGGAGGAAAGCGATTCTCCCACTCGGGCTACCAGCTGGAAGGCCCCATCACTGCCCTCCGTGTCAGAGTCAACAAGTACTTCATCGTAGGGTAAGATTCTCTTGAATTTCTGTGGCTTGGGGACCTTCTGGGATCTTACTTAACTGGAAAGTTCTCATTTACTTTGAATCACACTTGTTTCAATCAACAAGTCATAGGTCGGGCCGGGGATTCAGCTCAGTGGCTTCACTGACTGCTGCGCAAGCGCAAGGACCTGAGTTCGATCTCTGGTACCAAACAAAACCAAACAAACTCCTAAAAAGTCACAGGTCTCACATGATATGGTGAAAATGTTGCTAGGCAGCTGGTGTCTAGATCTGACGTTTGTGTCCTCCAGCACGTGAGGCTGGCAAGTCCCACCGTAAGCATGCAGGTGTGTGGGAGCTGTCAAGGCCACCCCAGAGGCTGAGGGTGACAGTGCCTCTGCAGCATTCCTATCAGGCAGCTTCCGTCTCTGCTCCGTGTCTCTCCTGAGATATTCCCACTCACTTCAGATAGCTGAAAATCCTACCACATGCGGCACCGAAATGTGTCTCCTCCTGACCCGGGCTCTGCATCCTAAGACCACACAGACACGTCTCATCCCTCTCCCATGTGGGAGACTTTCCCATGTCTGAAAATCCTTTTGCTTCTTCTTTTTTTGGTACCAGGGATTGAACTCAGGTCCTTGCGCTTGCGCAGCAGTGGCAGAACCACTGAGCCAAATCCCTGGCCCTTCCTTTTGCTTCTTTCAAGTGGGGGCTGGGGCACAGTGGGACCCTGGACTCCAAATCCAAGCCCCGACCTTTGCTGTTTGGGTGACTCCGGGCTGCTTCTCTTCCCTTTATGAGGCTGTTTGTTGGCAAAAGGAGTCCGAGGTCCCTCTATGGTTTTCTGGGGCTCACCCAGCCTCACATGCAGTGAGAATAGCAGGGGACTTGTCAGCTCTGCCACCAGGTTGAAGGCCAAGAGGTCACAAACCGTAACCCTGCTCAGTGTCTCCCTTCCTTCCCTCTCCGCTCATCCCAGTCTCCAGGTGCGTTATGGAAAAGTGTGGAGTGACTATGTGGGTGGCAAATCCGGAGACCTGGAGGAGATCTTTCTGCACCCCGGGGAGTCTGTGATCCAGGTGTCTGGCAAGTACAAGTCCTACCTGAGGAAGCTGGTCTTTGTGACAGACAAGGGCCGCTACCTGCCTTTTGGGAAGGACACAGGCACAAGCTTCAACGCCCTCCCCTTGTATCCCAACACTGTGCTCCGGTTCATCAGCGGCCGATCCGGTTCTGTCATCGACGCCATTGGCCTGCACTGGGACAGCTACCCCAGTGACTGCAGCAGCTGCTGAGCCCACCTCCCCCTGGCAGGGGCGTGAAAACACCATCACGACCCCATGCAGGTGGCTTAATAAAAGGATATAGCTAACATTGGTCTGCACATGGTGTCTGCAGCTGTGATTTGTCTCCCAATTCTGGAAGGCATGTACAAAACCCCTTTCTGGTTATCTGCTGGCATAAATCTGGGGAAAGTGGGAAGATGAGCAAGAGAGGTATAAGAATCATGGGCTTTTCTTCATAATTTATCAAAAGTATGCTCAGGGTCCAGGGACTTAGCTCAGTGGTTCTGCTGCCTGCCTCACAAGCACAAGGTCCCGAGTTCAATCCCCAGTACCAAACCAAACCAAACAAAACAAAAAGTATGGTCAGGCACGGTGGGACGGGCACACCTGTATCCCAGCACTGTGGGAGGCTGAAGGCAGGAGGATCCCAAGTTTGAGCTTAAACTGGTCAATTTAGCAAGACTGTCTTGGAATTGTAGCTCAGTGCAAAGGCCCTAGGTTTAATCCCCAGTATGCATAGGGAGTAGGTAAGATTCTGGCTTGCATCCGCGCTTTTCAGGGATGGTTCCTAAGAGTGTTCACCTATGCAGAAGCCCTGAGTTACGGTGAGGCCAAGCTGCAGCTCACTGCCCAGACCCCAGCTGTCCCACTCCTGTCTCCTTCCTGGTCCTCCCTGGATGGGACGCTGCTTCTCTGCCGGGACGCCACCTGATTCTGCTGACCTTAGTGCTTGCCCTATGTGCCGGGCCTGGATTTGGACCGTGTTCATCCCTAGAATGCACCTAACCCTCAAGTTTTGGCTAAGTTTGTGCTGAGGGACTCTGCCCTGTTACCTGGCCCAGTGGCCCCACCTTTACCCGGAAGGCCGCTTTCCTTGCCCAGCTCTCAGAACTGAGATCCTTCCTCAGGCACCAGCGTGTTCCCAACACCAGAAACTCCGTCAATACCACGCCCTAAAAAGGCAGCTCCAAAGGGAAGAGATTTTCACTGTGGGTCAACATGAAGGACCAGCTGCGGTTTAGAGGACTCAGTGCGGTCACTGGATAGTTAGGGCAAGGGCATGAACTTGCTCTCGTTCCCAGACCTGGAATACTAAGTGTTTTTCGGGTAGTGGCAGTGACTTACTGCTCCCAGCAGACTTATTCATGTCACAGGAAAGGTCTGTTAAGCTTCTTCCTAATTAGCCAGCCCTAACTACACAGGGAGACCCTACCTCAAAAAACCAAAAAATGAACGTCATAGAAATAAACTGATAGGGCCAGGGATTTAGCTCAGTGGTTCGCCACCTGCTTTGCAAGTCCAAGGTCCTGAGTTGGATCTCCCGTACAAAACAAACAAACAAACAAACAAACAAGAAAGCTGGCACCCATGAGCAGCCACTGTCCACCCCGCCCTCTACCTGCATGGCTTTGCCTGCTCTGCTGTTGCGCAGGCGTGGCTGTACCACCACGTGGCTTCATCCACGAGGGGTGCTTTCGTGGCTCACCCTTGCTGCAAGGGTGTCAGTGCTTCCATCCGCTCTGGGGGTGGAGGTGACAGGTTTCTGACAGAGCCATTGTCCGGGCAGCCCCAGGGCAGCCTTACACCAGGGTTCCCACACTGCCCAGCAGGGATGCTAGCACCCAGGAGCAGCCCCGCGAGGGGACTAACTGGAGGCAGCCTGGCTTTTGTTATTTTACATAGTAGGTTTTTGTAAAAACTTTTATTTGAAGAAAAGTTTCCTTTACTTTATTTTGTTGGGTTTTTTTTTTTTTTGGTACTGGGGATCAAACTCAGGTCCTTGTGCTTTCGAGGCAGGTGGCGGAACCACTGAGCTAAATCCCCGGCCAACCTTTACTTTAAAAAGCTTTCAAATAGCTGAAAAAAAAAAAAGCTGCAGTAATCACGTTTACTAAACATTCCCTGGTAGGTGCTAGGAATATAAATCTACTAAATTTTGAGTCTCCTCTTGCAGTCAAATGATTTTACTGTGGTGTAACAATGGTGTTTCCCAAAGGTGCTAAAGGAGCATGAAAGGACAAATAGCTTTCCCTAGGGTGTCTGGAAAGACTGCAGGAGGGGTCGTGTGTGTGCGCGCGCGCGCGTACGTGAACAACCCCAGGGTCCGGCTCACGAAGAGGCAGGAGATAGGAACGCTAACAGGGCTGGGGGTGTTAGAGACACACTTACCATGGACAAGGCCCTGCATTTGATCCCCAGCATCCAAAAAAGTAAAGAAAAGAAACCTACAAGTGGCTCAATATTCCTAAAATCCAAATTATAATGGGCAAAGACTGAAGTCCAGCCAGGTGCGCTGGTGCAGGGCTGTAATTCCAGGTATGCAAGATGCTGAGGCAGGAAGATCTCAGGTTCAAGGTTAGCCTGGGCAATTTAGTGAGACTCTGTCTCAGAATAAAATTTAAAAGGATGGGGCCAGGGATTTAGCTCAGCAGTTTCACCGCCTGCTGCACAAGCTCAAGGACCCGAGTTCGATCCCCAGTACCAAATAAATAAATAAATAAATAAAAGGACTGGGGACAGTAGCCCAGTGGTGGAGTGCTTGCCCAGCACGCGCAAGGCCCTGGGTCCATTCCCCATCACCCCTCCTCCACACACACAGCATGGAGCCTCATGAAAAGGCAGGGGCCATACAATGTAAACTTTAGTGGCTATGAGGAGCCATTGAATCAAACTTTATCCAGAAGATTGACAAATACACATGAAAGCGTTATTTTCCTGCTGTAAGTGGGGAAAATAGACTGCAGTTGGAATAGGATGAGATAAAGCAGTTAAGAGACTCAGTCCAGACTAGAAATGACTAATATTTGCACAAAGGCAGTAGCACCAGGGAGAGAGGAGAGGACAAACTTGTCACACTTGGAGTGGAAGGGCAGACACTGAGCACTTGGTAAGTGAAGCATGAGAGTGAGTGAGGAAGGGCTGCCGAGGAGGAGGACTACCTTGTCTGTAGCCTCTCAACTGAAGAGGGGTATTCTGCTCCGAGATGGGGGATACAAATGGCAAACTGATTAGCTCAGACCTGTTCAGTCTTGATGTACATGGTACATCTCTAACTGAGATCCAAACTGCAGGATGCTTGAGAATAAAGCTTCTTGTCAGGAGCAGTTCTACACAGATTTGGGGGAAAATCATTTTGTAAAGAAAGCATGACTGTAGCTGTCTAAGGCCCGATGTAGCCTTGCCCGAGAGCCGGCTATGGGGGGGAACACAACTCCCTTTTGCCTCTGGTCACACCTGAGGCCTCAGTGGTCTGTGACGCTGTGGCACTCAAGGGCAAGGTGACACCAGCCAAAGGCGAAGGCGTCCTGGCTCCTTGAGAACCCAGTAGCGACACAGAAGAGAAAGGCCTCACCTGGGGAGGGAGGAGCTCCTGATCAGCCCAGCTCTTCAGCTGCTGAGGTGGGGACCTCTCCTTTCCGCCCTCATCAGTGTGAGATCTGTATCAGCAGTGAGACCAGGCATGAGATCGCTGTGCCCCCCAGGTCACCTGAAGCTCCCTCTGATTACTGTGTGCACCCAGCACATGGTGGCCGGCTCGGGGAGTCTTTGTCTTTGCTGCTCTGAGGCACTGACCTCCCGGCCACCCTTATACATTGAAATTACACAGGTCTCTGTTGTCCTTTTTTCAGCCTTGCTGTCCCCCTCTCTAGGCAGAGGAAATCAGCTTCTGATAGCTTCTTATAAAAATTTTATTTAGGGCCGGGGATTTAGCTCAGTGGTTCCGCTGCTTGCCTTGCAAGCACAAGGACCTGAGTTTGATCCCTGGTACCAAAAATAAAAAAAATTATTTTTAGTTTACAAATACTAATTGTATACATTTATAGGGCACAGTGTAATGTTTTGGTGTTTACAACATGGAATGGTTACATCAGATTAATTAACAAACCCATCACCTATCTTTTTTTGATGTGGTGAAAACATTTAAAATCTACTCTTAGCAATTCTGAAACATACATTAATGCTTATTATATCACCACTCTGTCAGTAGAGTCGCTAAAGTTTATTCCTCCTGTCTGAATGGGACGTGGCACCCTCTCTCTGACCAGGGCCTCCCTTTCTCTCCCCCTCTCCAGCCTGTGGTGACCATTATTCTTCTGTCCACTGACACGAGTCCCACACTTTTAGATTCCACACTGTAAGGAAGATGCTGCAGTATTTATCTTTCTATGCTAGTCTATTTCACATAACACAAGGTCCTCCAGGTTCATCCGTGTTGTTGCAAATAATGGAACTGGATGGAGGCAAAAACATACATTTATTAAACATGATTAACTTAAAAACACTAAGCCAGGGCTGGGGATTTAGCTCAGTGGTTCCAGCACCTGCCTCAAAGGTGAAAGGTCCTGAGTTCAATCTCCGGTACCAAAAAAAAAAAGAAATCAGGAGGAATAAAAACCAAATTTCCCAAACAGACCAGTTTCAACTGGCATGATAGTGAATTTCATTTCATAAAGGTAACCTAAAGTAACTCAGTGTTAATCAACCAATTGTTTTTCTAATTTTGCATCTCCCCTTGACCATCTTGTAGAGCAAGATGACCAAAATTCACTCTTCCATTTCTGCTTTCTTCAGCCTTTCCTTTGCATAAAACCAACCTCTTTTACTCAGGTAATTCAAACACTCATTCTGCTTCACGGAATGAAGTGTTGCTCAATTCTAGAATCGCAAATAAAGCCAGTCAAGATCTTTGAATTGTAATTTTGTCCTTTGGCAGGTGGAACACAATGTCTAAGCCAGGGCCCTACCAGGATCTCAAAGATGGAGCGATCATTCCCAGCTAACCTTCCAGAAGGGACAGAGAACTACTTCAAAGACCCTGAACCCTTAGGACACAGACTATGGGGGAGGTTGGTTAGCAACAGTTAAAACTGGCCCTTAACGCTCTAAAGTAAGGAACGGAGAGCTGGTCTCCTTGCTCGGATGCGTGACACAAGGAGCCCTGTGCCGGGCAAGAGTGAGGGCCACATGACCGACTGTCCCCACCCGCACCAGTGTGGCCCAGATCTGCAGGACCCAGGGTCGCCACTGACCCGAGACCCCTGCCACGCAGCAAATGAAGTGTGATAGCCAACCCGACTCCATCTTGTGCCTCAATTTCATTTTGTACCTGTGCTTGAACAAAGTGCTTGCACACGAACAAAGCACCCCAAACCCCCACATCCTGCTTGCCAGTAAACTCCCTAGTTTCAGGATGTTTTGTAGCTCACCTAGTGTGTGTGAAACTTCCTTGTACCCCCCACTAAGCTGGCATGATTCTGCTTCTGTAAGATTCCGCTTGCTCTCCCCTGAGCCCTCCCCAACTGAAAGCTTGATTTAAAAGGAGAAATCAAACTGCTTCCCATTGCCGAGGAACCTTTCTGGGCACTAGCACCCCTCGGCCGCCGGCTATAATAAATGGACATGAGGGCCGGGGATTTAGCTCAGTGGTTCTGGTGCCTGCCTCCCAAGCACAAGGTCCAGAGTTTGATCCCTGGTACCAAAAAAAAAAAAAGTCAGAATAAATGGGCATGAATCTGGCACAAAATGTGGCACATCTCTATTGTCGGAACTCACTCCTCTACAGCAGAAGCAGCTTATGAGGCAAGAAACCTCAGAAAGGGAGACCCTTTCCAGTAGTTCAGGACAATCCTGCTTCCAGGCAGCATCTTCCTTATTCATATAATCACCTCTCTGCCACTAAAGTAGCAAAAACTATATTAATCGCAGGGAAATTTCGGTATGAATCGATCGAGTGCCTCTGATCACTGTCTGCTTGACTTGTGGCAAGATTCGTGGATGAGAGGGGGGGGAAATGAGGCGAAATGTCTACACTTCCGCAAATCTACACCTGGAAACCGGAAAGCCAGGAGGAGTAACGAGCCCAGACCCCTCCGGCCCGCAGCAGTTCCCTCCTGCGCCTCGGCTTCCAAGCTTTCGCTAAAGCGCACGCCCGACGTCAACGGCTGTGCGACTAACGTGCACACGCATGCGTCCTCCGCAAGGGGAAACTTACTTGCCGGACCGAAACGGAAGCGAGCCCTAGAAGGCGGGAGAGAAGCGATCCCCAAGAGGGGCTTCCGGAAGCGCGTGGCCGTGATTGGTGGAGCCTAGGAGAGGGGCGGGACCCCGGCAATTTGAATGGGCGAAGCGGGCCCGACGGAGGGTTTGGAATGGAAGCTGGGTCCTCGGCGCAGCTGAGACGCCAGATGGCGACGGCAGCCTCAGGTACACCGGTCGTGCAAGGGCGCGGCGGGGCACCGAAGCCTGGAGCTTCATGGGGTAATGCGTCGAAGTCTGGCATGGGTCCCGCGGGTCGTCCAGGAGAGAGGGAGAGATGGGAGCGCTGGGCTCGCGAGCGCGCCGCCCTCCGCCCTCCGCCCTCCTGCCTCCTGCCTCCTCTCGGGTCCGTAGACCTAGCCCCACAGCCTGGTTCGAGCCCGGCGCACTTCTTTCTAATTCAGTCTCTTCGTCTGTAAAGTAGGGGCAGTGACCCCATCTGTGGGAATTACCTGAGTGATAAGGCAAGCGCGCTACCTGTAAATAGGGCTGCGGCTGGGGGCTCGTCTGTGTTTGCTTGGTGTTTGGGTGCGGAGATGCAGGAAGGCAGGGCCGGGGTTCAGACCAGGCTGCAGCTGGTTGTGAGGTGGCAGCACAAGATACGCTGAGATCACAGACAAGGGAAATAAAGGGCCACTTGCCGTCCCCCTGGCTGTGGAGGTTGGAAAGGCTGTTAGGTCGTGGGAATCCTTTCCATTTCCAGGAAGGTGTGTTTACACGTGCCTCTTCCTGTGCGGGCTACGTGGGCAGTGATCGTGGGCTCCGGGCACCGTGGCACTTTACTTGGACCCCCGCTGCTTGCTGGTCGGCCTGTGGGGGACACCAAGACACTTAGGAGACTACCTAACACATGTTGTTCTTGCTATTGCCAGGCACAACTGTAAGCATTTTAGGATGATGATTTGCTGTTACAAAACGCCACAAGGTGGTTACTGTTTGTTGTCCTTGCTTTTGTTATTGTTTGTGTTTTGAGACAGAGTCTCACTATGTAGTCCAGGCTGGCTTTAAACTCTAGATCCTCCTACCTCAGCCTCCCTGGTGCTGGGATTACAGGCGTGCAATATACCCACCTTATTGTCTTTGTTTTTGACTTGAGGAAACTGAGGCATAAATGGGTTAAATAGCTTGTCCAGAGTTAACAGGACGTGTAAATACTGGTGGCCAAGTTCACACCCAGGCAGTTGGGTTCCAGAGCCTCTGCTTTCACCATTACCCTGAAATACACTGTTCCTGTCTAGGCGTAGCCTCCCTTCACTTGAAAGGCAGACTATATCTGCTACATAGTAGATATTTGGAGGGAATTTAAAATGGCTTCCAGTCACATAAATAGATGTGGTGTGATGAAACACAGTGAGAGATGGGTATAAACTGCTACAAAACTGTGGAATCTGAAATTCTTGGGTATTCTGGGAGGAAAGTTATACTTGAAGTGGGTCTCAAAGATTGGATAGAAGTTTGCTAGGCCTTGGGTGAAAGAAAAGAACACATTCGTAACATAAAGAAGACCAAAGAATATTCTTTTGGCTTTGTAAAAGAAAGAAGAGTTAAATGGAATAAAACTTGGGAATTATGAGAGGGAAAAATGGGGGTAAAGTGCTAGCATTGTTCAACCTCAGAGGTGATTTTATGACAAAAGAGTCTTATTCTGTGTGTGGCCTCTCCTTCCCCGGCCCAAGATAAACATTTTCTGAATTTTGGTGCCTGCAATTTTTTGTCACTTTTGTGTGGAGGGCCCCCCCCCCCACCTCCAGACAGGGTCTTGCTCTGTAATTCAGGCTGGCCTTGAACTCACTGTGTAGCCCAGGGTGGCCTTGAACTTGCAGCAATTCTCCTGCCTCAGCCTCCCAAGGGCTGGAATTATAGCCATGCACCACCATGCCAGCCTTTGTATTTGAATAAATTGTTGTACATGAATAGATGTAGATTGTTGTACATGAGAAAAATAAGACATCTTCTGAAAATAAGCCCTATTGTGTCTTTTGGAGCAAAAATTAATATGACTCAGTCTTACTTTGGGGGCAATACAGTTAGAGGTGATGTCTAAGCAGCAGCTCCAAATTTGGATCAGAAGAAAGCTCTGGTGTGGAAGTTACAGGTAGAGACCGTCAGCTTTAAGATGATATTTGAAGTTAAGAGAGCAACTAACCATGTCCACAAAGTGAAGCAGAGTGGTTTCAACTGGAGGGCACTTTATGTCCCACTGATCATTTGGAGATGTTTGGAGACATTTTTTGCTTGCTGCAACTTGAGAGTAAGACATGAGGGGCCGGGGATTTAGCTTAGTGGTTTCTCCGCCTGCTGCACAAGCGCAAGGACCCAAGTTTGACCCCTGGTACCAAAAAAAAAAAAAAAGAGTAAGACATGAGGAAGGCTTCTGGGATCTAGTGGATTAAGGGCTAAACACCCTATAACACACAGGACAACCTTTCAATAAAGAATTATCCAGCCCAGAATATCAATAGTGTGGAAGTTGAGAAATCCGGGCCTAGAGAGAGGATAGGAGGAACATGGGAAAACATTCAAGAAACTGTGGAGTGAACAGAGAGTTAGTGAGACAAACCAGGAGAAAGGATGGCATGGAAACTAAGGAAATAGTGTGTCTCCCCAAAGTGTTGATGCTTTGGGGAAACAAGCAGGGCTGGGACTGAGTGTGTCTGCTGGGTCTAGCAGTAGAGAAGTCATTGGCGACCTGCTGAACAGCAAGGATAGAGACAGGTTGGGGGCACGAAGTGTGAGTAGCAAGAGAAAGGGTAGAATAATCATAACAACTAACATTTACTGAGCCCTTGTTGCTAGGCACTGAACTAAACATTGTATGTACATTATTGCTTTAAATCTTAGAAGGATAGGGGCCGGGATTTAGCTCAGTGGCACCACATGCCTTGCAAATGCAAGGTCCTGAGTTCGATCCCCAGTACCGGAAAAAAAAAAAAAATCTTTGAAAGATACTATTTTTATTTTTGTTCATTTTTTGCAGTACTGGGGATTAAACTCAGGGCTTTCTAGCTGAGCTACATCCTCAGACCCTTTTATTTTACTTTTTTTTTTATGGTGAAAATAATGTGTATTTAGAATTAGCCAGCTGGACTCAGTTTGATGATCCTAATTTTGTTGGCAGCATCCAAGAAATCATCATCAGGAGCCAGTGGAACATACGCCTTCTTCTCTCCATCAGGCCTGATTAGGGTTCTGACCTTGGCCACATCGGTGTCCTAGAGCTTCTTCACAGCTTGTGTGATCTGGTGCTTGTTGGCCTTGACATCCACAATGAACACGAGTGTGCTGTTGTCCTCTGTCTTCTTCATGGCAGACTCTGTGGTCGGGGGAACTTGATGATGGCATAGTGGTCAAGCTTGCTTCTCCTGGGGGTGCTTTTCCGAGGGTATTTTGGCTGTCGCTGGAGCCACAGTGTCTTGGGATAGCGGAAGGTGGGTAACGTGTGGATTTTCTTCTTTTTGTGGCTGTGCTGCCTTTCAACACTGCTTTCTTGGCTTTCAAAGCTTTTGCTTTGGCTTCAGCTTTGGGAGGGGCAGGAGCTTCCTTCTTTGCCTTCAGCGCTGTCTTGGTAAAAAGCCCCTTTTATTTTACTTTGAGACAGGTTCTTGCTGAGTCACTAAGTTGCCCAGACTGAGCTTGCATTTGCTCCTCCTGTCTCAGCCTCCCAGAGTGCTAGGATTACAGGCCTGACTTGGTTTTTGGTGTTTTGGTTTTTTTGGTACGGAGGATTGAACTCAGGACCTTGCGCTTGTGAGGCAGGTGCAGTACCATTGAGCTAAATCCCTGGCCCCTTCTGCACAGTTTTGGGAAACTCAGTGAAGCCATTTGCATTTCTTCTCTTCTGCACACAAGCACGTGCAGGTGTCTCCCTGCTTGCTCCTAGCTCCCAGGTCTGCCATGAGGAGCCCCTGAGAACCGTAAAGGAGAAATGGCAATGCGGGGCTGTCAGGTGAACAGAGCCTCAGCTTTGGAAACAGACCATCTGCTTATGTGCATGCTTTGCTTATGTGTAGGATTCTTTCCAGGGATAATCTGCTGCCTTTTCGTCGTGCTATTTCTGTGTTGGCCAAATACACCAACCTTCTTTTTGTATTGTCTATAAGGCCACTGGCTCCTGGTAACCAGCTGTTAGTACTGCGAGGAAAAGAATGAGCTGCCAAGAGCTTTCCCAGTTGGTACATAAAACGGAGGCTACACACATCCTTGTTAAAAGCAGATTTGAGAGTGAAGAGATTTAGGTTTGAATTCTATAGCTGTGAGCTTTAGTATGCTTACCTCCAAGGTAAAACAGAGTAATATTCTCCTCTAAGGTTTATTTCAACTCACTTAATTCTGACAAAAAAGCCCCACCTTTTGATTTTCGATGATAAAAATAATTTATAATTGTTATTTTTTCAAATGCCTTAGATTTGATCATTGGAAGGAAGCTAAATGAAAAGCTTATGAGACAGAATTATTTGTCAGTGCCTTTTGCAGGCTAAGCTGGGACAGAAAAGGACAGGCGCCGCTCAACCTGATCCTTCCAAAGATGTCCACCCACAGCGTGATTGCTTTTTAAAAATGCAAACATCACAGCATTACAGAACTGAGTAACGTAAAAAATAAGCCCACATAATTCTCTATCAAGAGAAAAACACCGTTAGCAATTTAAGGGTGCACGCGTGTGTGTGTGTGTGTGTGTGTATATTTATATCTAAGTATGAATATAAGCCTCAGGTAAGAAATGGAGGCATGGAGATTTATATCTAAGTATGAGTATAAGCCTCAGGTAAGAAATGGAGGCATGGAGTCAGGCAATTCATATCTGGGGTCAAATCTTTTAATCTTTAGAACAACTCTGTGAGGTGCTGGTCTGACATACCTGAGCAATGCAAAACAAGCCTCAGCAACAGCAGCAGCATCTGAGAGCTTGTCAGAAAGGCGGTCTCAGGCATCACCCAAGGGACTGAGGCTGAATTCTGACAGATCTTCCAGGTTATCTGCAGTTTGAGAAGCCTGTACACACTGCTGGGCCTACTTGCATGACAGAGTATCTCTGGGGAAGTCAGGGCTTTCACTGGAATGAACCCTCAAATGGACTTAAACTCCTAATTTCATTGAGGAACAAAGGCATGTTCTGCTGGACATGGGTGTATATTTTAGATTAGAAAGGCATGATGACAATTATGCTGAATTGTTAGCTTTATCAAATTGTTCCCAGGATGTTTTTCCTTGTTTCACCCGAAAGGCTTGTCCCTGCCCGCCCTCAGGTTGTTCCAACTTCTCAAGCTCAGCAGTCTTCTGTACCCTGAGTCAGCTGGGGCAGATATTAGGCTGTGGGCGGCAGAGGAGGGAAGGGGCCCACAGCACAGCCACGGTGGGAAGAGCTTCCTCCCCTCAGTGAGCCGGGGCCCCTAAGCCTCCTCACTCAGCTGGTTCCTGCTTTCCCTATGCTACTGCCATACTTTATGCCCAGAATCTCCCCTCTAGGTGCTCGTCGCTGTCGTCTAAGCAAGGTAGGAGGTGGCCGGCGCCCTCCTCCAGCTCGAGTAAGGGTGGCTGTGCGACTTCGGCCATTTCTGGATGAAACGGCTGGAACGAGTGAACCCCCCTGTGTACGAGCCATAGACAGCTGCTCTCTTGAGGTTGCCAACTGGAGGAACTTCCAGGAGACTCTCAAGTACCAGTAAGTTCAGGCCACTCCTCTCTCCCGCTCCTTGGCCTGTTCACATTGTCAGTGACCCGGACCGTTTTCAGACCTGCCCCCCAGGACCCTTCTCCCTCTTCAGGATAGCTTTGTTTCCAAATCTTCATTTGCTCAGTTAGGAAATGTCCGTGGGTGCCAGTGTGACGGGTCCTCTGGGGAAGGACAGAGGCTGAATCAGACACATTACTGTTCAGTCTTAAGGAGGATATTGGCGCAGAGGGACGAGAGAGTGCCGAGTGGGGCTGGGGCAGGCGGTGTCAGAGAAGAGCACCCAGATTTGGGGGTAGTACACGAGGGCAACTACTTTCAGACCCACTTTGGGCCGGGGATTTAGCTCAGTGGTTTCTCCGACTGCTATGCAAGGGCAAAGACCTGAGTTCGATTCCTGGTACCAAAAAAAAAAAAAAGAATGGAAACCTTTCAGACCCACTGAGAATTTAAGTTCAGTCTCCTTGGCCTGTTATTTTAGGCTGGGGGATGGCAAACTACACCCTGCAGTCAAGTCAGACCAGGAGTCTCTGTAAATAGTTTTATCATCTTATTTACATATTGCCCATAGCTACTTTGTCATTTTTAATTAATTAATTTTTTTTTGAAGCAGGGTCTCACTATGTAGCCCAGGCTGGCCTCAAACTCAGCAATCCCCCTGCCTCTGCTTGCTGAATGCTAGGATTACAGGCGTGCTCCACCACGCCTATCCTTGATATACAGAACTCCTTCCCCCTCCCTCCCTCCCTTCTTTCCTTCCTTTCTCCCCCTCCCTTCTCCCCCTCCCTTCCGTCCTCTTCCTTTCCCTTCTGTAAAATCTTGCTTCCTCCAGCCGAATCAGTTACCCCTAGTGTGTTCTTATTCTTGTTTCCTGAATCCCAGCAAAGTATGGGTATTTGTCTATCCCACCCAGTCACAAACCCCCTGAAAGCAGCGTCAGCTTCATTTCTCTTTTCCTACCATCAGTACAGACACTGGGACAGAACAGGTGTTCCGTGGATGCTTTTAAGGTTTTTAAGCAGGAAGCGGCATAGGGACTTTCTTTTAAATCTGAACCTAGTATCTTGTAGATCTGGGTGCCAACACAATGCCCTGCTAATGCTCCCTTCTTTGCTCTACAGGTTTGATGCCTTCTATGGGGAGAGGAGCTCTCAGCAGGACATCTATGCAGGTTCAGTGCAGCCCATCCTGAGGCACCTACTGGAAGGGCAGAATGCCAGCGTCCTTGCCTATGGACCTACAGGAGCAGGTGAGAGAGCCCAAATGGAACAGGTATGGTCAGAGAAGGCCAGGGAAATGGAGAGGACCACCATGAAGCTTTCTCCATGCTTTCCCCAGGGAAGACACATACAATGCTGGGCAGCCCAGAGCAACCTGGTGTGATTCCCCGGGCTCTCATGGATCTCCTGCAGCTCACAAGAGAGGAGGGTGCTGAGGGCCGGCCGTGGGCCCTTTCTGTCACTATGTCCTACTTAGAGATCTACCAGGAAAAGGTGAGGCCTCTCTCAGTTGGGGAGGGAAGAAACACAGGTCAGAGGAAGATAGTTCTAGACGGTGGAGCTCTGCTCTGGTCGGGAGGTGAGGTGGGATATGGAGACAGAGGCTGGGATGGTAAGTAGCATCTAACAGAGGAAAGAAGACTGGCCCCCAGGGAGCAGACTGAACATGCGAAACAGGCCACACCTGTCGCTGCTCAAACAGGTGCTAGACCTCCTGGACCCTTCGTCTGGAGACCTGGTGATCCGAGAAGACTGTCGGGGGAACATCCTGATTCCGGGCCTCACGCAGAAGCCCATCACTAGCTTCACGGATTTTGAGCGGCACTTCCTGCCAGCCAGTGGAAATCGGACGGTAGGAGCCACCCGGCTCAACCAGCGCTCCTCCCGCAGTCATGCGGTGCTCCTGGTCAAGGTTAGGCCACTACAGAGGGGAGGACCTGGGGAGCCCCCGCCTGGTGAACTGAACTGAGCCTGGGGTGCCTGTTCTTCCCCAGGTGGATCAGCGGGAGCGTCTGGCCCCATTTCGACAGCGGGAGGGGAAACTCTACCTCATTGACTTGGCTGGCTCAGAGGACAACCGGCGCACAGGCAACCAGGGCCTCCGGCTCAAGGAGAGCGGGGCCATCAACACCTCCCTCTTCGTGCTGGGCAAGGTGGTGGATGCACTGAGCCAGGGCCTCCCACGAGTGCCCTATCGCGACAGCAAGCTCACCCGCCTGCTGCAGGTCAGGTTCGGGTGGGCCAGGGGAAAAGGGCCTGGGGGAGGAGGTTCTTAGCTTGCTGGGGTGTGGGGAATAGCAGTTAAGGAAAGGGAAAGCTGGGGTTCTGACTCACCCACTCCAATCTCCACCCCTCAGGACTCTCTGGGTGGCTCAGCCCACAGCATCCTCATCGCCAACATTGCTCCGGAGAGACGCTTCTACCTAGACACAGTCTCTGCACTCAATTTCGCTGCTAGGTCCAAGGAAGTGATCAACCGGCCTTTCACCAATGAGAGCCTGCAGCTTCATGGTGAGGACCAGGGGAGGCACGAGTGGAAAGGCCACCAAGCACCAGCACAGTGGCTGACCACGTCCTGCCTCCCCTTACAACCCCTCGATACTCTCCTAGTCTGGCCACCCGTTAAGCTGTCTCAAAAAGAACTGCTAGGCCCGTCTGAGGCAAAAAGGGCCCGAGGCTCTGGGGAAGAGGAGCCTGGGAGCCCTGAGCCTGCAGCAGCTCCAGGCCCGGCCTTCCAGAGATTCAGGTGAGCTGTGGGCCTTGGTGTTACCCTTCCCCACTGAGTAGGTTAGCAGCAGAGATGGTGAACTTGCTGCTGCGTTGGGGACCTCAGGAGGCTTCCTTCTGGGGCTCCTGGCCCCCTCCCTCTCTATGTTCCAGTCCCTTCATGCTGTCAGCAAAACCTCACATTTTTTTTTTTTTTTTTAAACCTCACATTTTGGGGCAGCTGTTTCAAAGCAGTTTTGCTCCTGACTTGAGAGTCATCAGGTCCAGGGGACAAGAGCAAAGCTAGACAGGCCAGGACGAGGGGAAGAGAGGTCTCACCAAGACTTCTCCATTGTGTGTTTGGCCAGCCCTTTTGGGACTAAGGAGCCAGTTGCTGTCCTAATTTACTCTGTTTCTACCCTCAATTCCAACAAAGCCTGAGCCCCATTTGTGTGTGTGGCCCCACCTTCTGCCCTGTATGTACCAATCATCACAAGGCTTACCTCTTTCTAGTAACTTTGCATTCTGTTTGGCCACTTGATCCTGTGAGTCAAAGAGCCAGCTGCAGTTCTAACTTTGCCTGTTTCTACCCCTATCCAAATAAAGCCTAAGTAACTATGTAAATGCTAAGACTCCTGAACAGAGGTGACCCAAGAAGGCCAAGGAGCACTGCACTCTCCACCCAGGAGGCTTTGTTACAGTGGAGGACAGTGTACACAGAAGGCGCTTGCTCACTCGGGCCCATCTCTCAACTGTGCCTTTCCTAAGCCATCCATCCATGGTCTCCTCTTCTCTGCACACAAACTGAAACTTACACGTGTACATGTGTGAGCAGCAAGGTCCTCCAGATTGGAATTCTGGGCTAGGAGAGGGTCAGAGCTGGGGTGTATCAGACCTAGAGAGATACACGAGGCCAGGCATGGGTGGACAGTACAGAGAATAAGGGGCACCGCTTGTTCTGTAAGAGCCAAGAAGGAAGAGGTGACATCTAGTCTTTGCTACACATTTTCTCATCTTGTTCTCTTGAGGATTTGCACATAAAGAACAGGACACAGGCGCTGTCTTCAAGGAGCTACTTTACAGTGTACCAAAGAAATGCTTGATTAGCTGGGGATTTAGCTCAATGGTTTCACCACCTGCTGTGCCAGCACAAGAATCCGAGTTTGATCCCCGGTACCAAAAAAAAAAAAAAAAGAAAGAAATGCTTGGTTAAGCTGGGCATCGTGGGGAAGGTGGCATCAAACTGACTGAAAGATGATGAAGAGGTGAGGGGAGAATTCCAGGCAGAAGGAATGAGTATAGACAGCCAGGACTCTGTTAGAACAGGTCTTTCCTGCCACTCAGGGTAAAAGCCTGGTTTTTGAGGCTTTATTAGCCATCAGCCCTGCTAAAGGTGACCTCTATGACTTTTTTTTCCAACTGATTTTCCAAATAGCCAGGCCCTCAGCTCTTTCTGTCACCCAATTATGGTCTTTTACTCTCCTTGTTAGACAGTGAGTGCCTCCAGAAGCAGACAATTTTGTAGCTTCCTAATACCTGGTACTTAGGTGTTCACTACATGCTTGTTCTTGTCCAATATTCTGGCATCTCTGAGAGGTTACTTCACCTGATGAAGACACTGTCTGGAGCAGCTAGACTTGTTCAGTACTGCCCAGCATGCTCATGTCGGGGCTGTGGACCCCACAGGATATACAGAGATAGGGAGTGTGGGGAATCCTGCTGCTGGAGGCAGTGACGAGATGAGGGCAGTGCAGACTAACTACTTTGTGCAGCCCCCTGCAGAAGCTAAGCAACATGGACCCGGCCATGCTGGAACGCCTGCTGAGCTTGGACCACTTGCTGGGCTCCCAGGGGAGCCAGGGGACCCCTCTGCTGAATACCCCGAAACGAGAGCGAATGGTGCTTCTGAAGACAGTGGAAGAGAAGGACTTGGAGATTGAGGTCAGTGTGGGAGAAGCAGCCAGGATCTCCCGGGCCTTAGCAAGCAATCCTAGGACCTTTAGACAGGGAAGGACAGTCAGGTTGGACTGGAAATTTTTTGGCTTTTGCTGAAGCGCCCTTAACATGGCTCAACTTTGAAAAATAATTGACATCAGATGTGAAGAGTTGGAACCCCCCCCATCACATGTTAATTTCCTAAAACCCAGTTTGTCTTAAGGAGGACCCTGCTTGACAGTCTTTCACTTCAGTATTTCCTAAGGGGCGTGCTCCACCTCTGGGTGTCCCCTGATCATCAGAAGACCCTCAGTTATTTTGGGCTTCATCTGTCTTCCAGTAGCTTCTCCCATCGGCCTAAGTCTTGTCCTCTTGGGCCTTGAACTCTAGCTGCTCACCCTCCTAACTTGCTGCCCTAGTGTTGGGTTTAGGTCACATCTGTGGTTTCCAACAGAGGCTTAAGATGAAGCAAAAAGAGCTGGAGGCCAAGGTACTGGCCCAGGAGGTGACAGAGGAAGAGGAGAAGGAGAACCCTCTCTCACTAGTTCGACCCCTTTCTCGGCGTGCACTCACAGGGGCAAAGCCACTGAAAAAGGCTGTGGTGATGCCCCTACAGCTGAGTAAGTATGCCCCTGCGGCCAAGAGGATGAAGATAACCCAGATCCCACAAGGGAAGGGGTGTTAGTGGGAGCAGCTGTCCTCTTGCCACTGGTTTCCTCCCACCACAGGCAGCCCCAGGGAGGGTTGAGAAGGCTCTAAAGCAGTGCTGGGAGCCTTGCCCTGGTGCAGTGGTGGTGAACCTTTTAGAGACTGAGTGCCCCCAAACTGCAACCAAAACCCCTTATTGCTCACAACACACCAACACTACAGTTGAACCTGACTGCTCAGCTGCTGGGGCAATGCCGGGCAGCTTGGCTCACGTGCTGACAGAGGGGACTTTGTGCCCACGGCAGCATGCATGCTAGAGGTTTGCCTCAGTGCCCTAGGGACAGGCAGATAAGTGTGCAGCTGATTATGATGCAAGACCAACTGAGACTACTTTCAGATACAGGTATTAGAAAGATCATGTTGAATCAGTGGCACTGCACCTGCCTGGCAAGCGAGAGGTCCTGAGTTTGATCCCCAGTACTGGAAAAAAAGAAAGATCATGTGAAAACATGATCAGTGGTTAAAGGGGAACCAAAGAATCAGAAATGGGAGAACAAAGTGGCTACCAGGGAGGGAGCAAAGTGGCCCCTGGCCTGGCCCCAGTTCACAATTCTTGCTCTCAGTTCAGGAGCAAGCAGCATCTCCACACCCTGAGATCCACATCCTGAAGAAGAAGAAAGGGCTGAAGAGAAAGGTGAGCGTAGCTTGAGACTTGAGCATCACCTTAAGCCTAGGACAGGTAAGGTCTTCGGGCAGAGGCTGACCTTGGAAGTACCTGGCCTGACCGAGCCCGCGCTCAATCTTCCAGCTTGGGCACGCTCTGTGTGCAGTGCGTGGCCCTGAGGGACAGTTAGGACGACCTGGACCCATGTGGACACAGCCCAGCGGGCATCCACCACCGGCCAGTCTCCTTCCTTTCTGCGGCTCCTGTGCTGAGAAAGGAGATGCTGACAGGATGAAGTGTGCAGCTCCAATCCTGCCCTCCGCACTTAGGGGAAATATGGCCTAAGCACTCCAAGACACTCAAAGTGTAATCCAAAACCAGGGACATGGGGGGTGCGTGTTACTTACTGCTCCCCCCTCCTCTCCTGGTGAGACAGACACTCCCACTCTGGGGCCTGAGGGTCAAACCAAAGGCTTCAGGCTGGTGCCACTTAGCTACTTCCTCAGCCCCTGTGCGAGACCTGAGAGCTTGCTTTGTGCTTTTCACTTCTTAATTCATTGGGTCTTTGCCTAACTGTTCTAGAGAACGGTACTCAGCATCACCCTAAAGTTGGCGGTGACCAGAAGTACTGTAGAAGGCGGGAGCCAGCCTGAGGGTGTTGGTCACTTGGGGGGGTGGGGGCAGTTGCAGCTGGGCTCCTGGTCTTGGCAGAGGAGTCCGCAGTGCTTCTCCGACTTTTGTCACTCACTCCGTGCCTCCTAGCTGAAGTCCCTGGATGCCCCCGGGCCTGAGGAGGAGGAGAAGGTTGAGGACTGCTGGGAGCTACAGATCAGCCCTGAGCTGCTGGCCCATGGGCGCCAAAAAATACTGGATCTGCTCAACGAAGGTTCAACTCGGGACCTGCGCAGCCTGCAGCGCATCGGCCAGAAGAAGGCCCAGCTCATCGTAGGCTGGAGGCAGCTCCACGGCCCCTTTGGCCAGGTAGTGCGCGGGGAGGCCGGGAGGGGCGCGAGAGCCGGGCCCCGCCCACCGCCGCTGTCCCGCAGGTGGAGGACCTGGAGCGCGTGGAGGGCATCTCCGCCAGGCAGCTGCAGTCGTTCCTCAAGGTCAGGTCCCAGGTCCCGCTGCCACCTCCCGCCCCGCCCCGCGCCCATGCCCCCGCTCCCCCTTAACGCTGCCCTTCTCCGCAGGCGAACATCTTGGGCCTGGCTGCCGGCCGCCGCTGCGGCGCCCCCTGACCGCCGCCTCCTACGTCTTCTCTCAACCCTGTGTAGCCTCGTTCGTGTAAATACAGTTATTACTCCCGTGCTTCAGCCTGATTCTTGGGGCGGTGGGGGCGGGGCCGAGCGATAACCGCCTGGGGGTAGGCAAACTTCTTTCGAGCGCAGCGCCATCTTTGGGAAGCCACGAAGCAGCGCAAGATTGTAAATAAACCGCTAGAGTGGGGAGGGGAGACGACGGTGGCCGAGAGAAGACAAACAGACTGAACGCGAAAAGCAGAGGACGGCGACCGTTAAGCGAGCGCGCGCTTCGAGTTTCGCCCCGCCCGTACCCCCGACGCGCGCTCCCTTATTCTCCCGCTCAGCAGGGACAGCGGTGTTGTGTGCGCGTGCGCGCGAAGTAACGGCCGCTGGTGGAGGGGGGTGACTTGTTGAAGGGGGGAGAAGAGAAGCCACCCTGTCTCCCGCGCGCCCACCACCTGCGCCATCTTCAGCCAATCAGCAGCTGTCTCGGGGGTCTCGCGCTTGAGGCGACTCAGGCTGCCGGGTGGCTCCCCCGTCCCTCCCGCCAGTCCCTCCCGCACCTGCCCCTCCCGCTGGCCTTGCGCGCACTCGCGCTCGCGCCCGCTGCAGCCTCCAG